AATAGTCGAGCTAAAAACCTTATGCATGTTCATATGCAATACATTTTAGTATAATTTTTTCTCTGTCCACTGAAATGATGCCCTCTATCTAATTCGTCACTTATTTGTGCTCCAACTAAGACGCCTTTTCTGTAGGTTTTTTTTTTTTCATTTATAGCGGCTGTTTTAAATTTACGTAAAGTTTGGTTGGAATCCCACCAGTAGTTTGACCTGTGAAGGCCGAACAAGATTTTTCTGTTTTAGCTCTGGTGGCCATTTTGTGCAGTGAAGCGGAACGTGCCGGTGATGTGTACAACTAGTTTGGTTGAAATCTCACTAGTAGTTTGTCCTATGAAGAGCAGACAAGCTAAATGCGGACGGACAAACAACGGACAGACAGACAGACAGACAGACGGCAAAAGCAAAAACAATAAGTCTCCTAAAAATTTTGGGAGACATAATTATATCGATATCTATGTGATGCTTTAATCGGAATAAATGATTTGTCATGTCTGCACAAAGAGTAAAAAATATCGCTCAAACTTCAGCGGGGTAACAAATCAGTGACAGGTATCAAAACATCGCTTGAAACTGGGAAACTAGAAATAAATAAATAATGAAGATATAAAACAGAATTTTATTTGTATAAAAATAATTAACCAATATATATATAAACATATTATGTAAATTTTTATAACATACATGAAGTTATATCACAGAATTCGTTTCGGTTTTGTTTCCTGCTGTCCTTCTATTTACAGAGATGTCTTAATCCTTAATCTGCTTTAACCTAAAATTATTAGGTCATGACCACCATTTTAGAGCTAGGCGAGCCCGCACATTCATGCAATGTTATCAGGCTCTTTACCGTTGCCTGATAAACTTCAAATCTCCAAATATTGACAATGGACAGTTCCAAAAATGGACGCTGGATAAACTTCAAATCTCCAAAAATTGACAATGGACAGATTCAAACGTGGACGCTGGACGAGTCCATTATAAATTTACCGGCATGTAAAAGGTTAATACTATTCACATAGCACAAAAATAGCACAATTAAGCTTTAATATATCACTAAACGTAGCCCTTACAATTAAAAAGTTACAACAAATAATGCACTCAAACTGATAATACTTATACAAATATATAACAGTGGCACACTGCGGTTATATAATACTGTATGATTGTAACGTCACTTTTCATTGGACAATTGTAACGCTTATATATTCCATAAATACAGCAAATTCATAAATGAGCCGCGTCACGACAAACCAACATAGTGGGTATGCGACCAGCATGGATCCAGACCAGCCTGCGCATCAGGGCAGTCAGATCAGGATCCATGCTGTTCGCTATCAGTTTCTCTACTTGTAATAGAGTTGGTAAGCAAACAGCATGGATCCTGATCAGACTGCGCGGATGCGCAGGCTGGTCTGGATCCATGCTGGTCGCAAACCCATTATGTTGGATTTGTCGTGACGCGGCTCAAATTATTTCTTATTCCAACAAAGAAACGATGTTGCATAGCATTACAAACTTGCAGTGTTACACAAATTCTTTACACAAATACTTTCACGTTTAATGGGGCTGAGGAAAAGGTTGTATTGGTTATATAACCTTCACCAAGTGGCTTGAGTTATATGAGCTTAAAACCTTTTATATTATCCCATATAAACTGTCAAAACTGTTTATATAACTTATATGCATAATAATAAACTGTACCTGCTGTATGGTTTAAACATATTTATTTAAGCTCGATTGTGAAACAAGTTCTTGCAACTTATATTAATCACTTTTGAGTTTGCTTCCTTGAACCAACCAGTACCGATGTCACATGAAAAAACATGGTTGTGACCTGAATAGTGCTCGAACCCATTACCCCTTAGAAAAGAGGCAGACACCTTAACCACTAGGCCATCGTTCACCTGTAAATGCATATGTAAACTGTATAGTTTGAATGCTTGAAATAAGGCCCTTTTAGAACATGAATACTTATCATAACAAAACCACAATATCACCCTGACTTAAATTACATACCCATTATATTCTAATTTTACCTAGCCATCTAAAAGCAATATTTCAATTTTGAAACACTAGTATTTCCCTGGTTTCATAATTATATACCTCACCTCATAATGAGAATTTCTAGACATTGCATACAAAAATGAAAAGAGTTTCAAACAACTAATCCAATACAAAACTGTTTTTAGAATATTATATATCTTACACAGTTCAAATTAGTACTGTAAATCAACATGAGATTTTAATATCAACCTTTCATATTGCTTTAGTGTTGGTTTTATTGGCTTTTACGCCAACAGCAGTAGATTATTAAAAAATATTTACCGTATATTCCCCAATAAAAGCTCCATAATATTATGATACTATATGTATGTATGTATGTGTGTACCTTTTCACTGAATAACACTGACTTTTATTTTGAATACATTTTCAAAATTTTTATGAAAATTTGCATTAATCTAGAGACATGCTACATTGAAATTTCCAATATGTCAAATTATAATCCTATTCCAAAGGTATACATGTATATTGTTACCAGTATGGAGGCACTAAATTATAGAACCAAGATGTATACAACCAAGATATTATGACAAATGTAAACGTGATCTGTTAATAAAAGAGCAGGATAAACAAAACAGGCCTTAAAATTTGTATAAAAAGATTTAGGGGAGGCATGAAATTAAAACCAAAAAAAAAAGAAAAAAAATTAAATAGGGAACTTATTAAGGAATATACAGTACCATGCACCTTATTTGACTAGAAACAAATCTAAACAGAAACATACCCCATTAAATATGATATATTATTTATTAGTATTCCAATATCATCAACTTTCTTTCTAGATTTTCAAAAAGACTGAACTTTCTCTCGTTAATTAGAAAATGAAAACTTAAGAATATTGGTTACGACAAAATTAAAACAATAAAACAGAAACCTCAATCTAAATAAAATGTTAATATAAAAATATTGTAGGAAAAAAAAATTGAATTCTATTTTTAACCAGTATTCTATCAATTAATTAATTCATGTACATTTTAAGTATATTTTACAATGACAGTGTCAATTGATCAACTATAAAGACTTAGGATCTTTGGGCTGTTAATAAAAAATTTAAAATGTTAAAGTTTTTTTTTTTTTTTTTTAATTTTCAGGGCTAAGGCCAATATCCTGCCAATACCTAATTCATAGTACAGTCTATAATTTAACTTAACACTTTGGGTTTTACTTATCTCTGAAGCCAGTGCTTAACTATTTTTTGCCAGCAGTTCTACACACAAAAGCCCCCATCCAGCCGGGTATAAAACAAAATTTGTATTTAAATCTGAAGCCAGTGTTTAACTCTTTTGCAAGCAGTTCTACACAAAGAAGCGCCCACATACCATAAAATTCTTAAAGGGAGACACAGGCAAAATTTTTTATTTCTTCATTTTGAATTTTTCATTCCTTAATCTGTAAATGTCCTCAAAATTAATACAGTAGGCATCATGCGCAGTACCAGGAATAAAAATTTTCTCCTTATAAAGAATAAAATGGTGGTTTCCTAACTTGACCCACGTCAGTCAAGTTAGAGCGTTAAGATTTTACAGTCGTTGTCACAGTGAACTCTGGTAACATTTAAGAACATGTCAAATGAACGGCTCAGACTTGTTTCAATCATACAATGTCCACAATATCTATCAGTTATTGTTACTTCAAGGGTTTGTTCGAGTCACACTTGTTTTAAAACTATTCGGTGATTCTGTTGGCATCTAAATTTCGTTCAATATTTATAGATATATTTGCGCTTCAAATCCAAAATATATAGAATTTATACAGAAATTCATGTTGGGACTTTAAAATATGTCATTTTAGCGTGATTCGAGTGCATAGGATCATTTTAATAATTTTGTCATTAATTTGCCTGAGTATCCCAGTTTTAAGTCAGTTTTAAAACATAAATAAATTAATGCAATTTAAAGTCATTTCTTAACCCTAATGTCTAAAAATAAACGTCTAAAAACTTTACTCAGACAAGTACATGACTGTACTAGTACATTTTTCTGGCCAAATTATTTTTTAAGGCAGAAATAAACTAATTATCAGAGCAGACAGATAGAACCTAACTCTTGTGGCAGTACTTCAACATTGAAGACTAGAACTACATTTTTAGACTAACAATGTACAGAAAGTATAAATTTTGACCTATCTAATCTATTATATTTGACCAGTCCAATTATGATCATCAGGTCAAAATTCACTCAAAATACATAAACTTTAAAAAAAAACACTTTAAAAACATTCACATAATAACACTCTTAATATACATAAACTTTTAAAAGAAGCATTTAAATGCATTCACATAATAAGACACTTAAATTCATACACTTTAGAAATCACTCAAAATACACAGTCACATTATAAGACACTAAACATAAAATCACTCAAAAACATTCAAATTATAAGACACATAATAAGACACTCAAAATACATAAAATTTAAAAATCACTCAAAATGCACACACGTTATAAGACACTCAAAATACATAAACTTAAAGTCACTCAAAATACACACACATTATAAGACACTTAATATAAAATCACTCAAACTACATTCAAATTATAAGACAAATAGTAAGTCACTTAATTTTAAAAAGCTCTCAAAATACACACACATTAACAAGGCACTTAATATACATAAACTTTAAAATGTACTTTAAAATACATTCACATTATAAGACCCTTCATATAGATAAACTTTAAAATTCACTCAAAATACATTCACATAATAATTGAAATCAATCAAAATTCATTATTATTAAAATTCACTCTTAATATATAATTACACATGTGGAAAAATCACTCAAAATTTATAAACACATAGGAATTCATCACAAAAAATGTATCATAATACATATTAAAAGTCACTCAAAATGCATTAACATATCAGATATCTCCCGAAGTAAACAATCAATTATTGAATAAAATAAAACCAAAAAGAGAAAAAAAACTCAAAATTTTATCAATTTTTTTTTTATTAAAAATGATTTTAAAACCAAATACAAGTATTAAATATTATTCAAAAACAATCACTCAAAAAAAATATCACTTAAGTGCTATCACATGTGCATTATGCGTCAGAACTGGATAGAAATCTTGAAAAAGGGCAAACATGAATGGATGAATGAATGGTTTAGAGCATGTTAAATGCTTTTTTTATTACTAAAAGAAAGTACTGAACTGCGTTATTATTTTTCAAACAGGTAGCAAAATGTAAACAAAGTAGTATTTTCACTTCCATACAAAATACTAAACCATTTTAGCTGTACTAATTGGCAAAAGGCAACAGAAGAAAAAGATGGTTCAAGATAGTGGCAAATGAGTAACTTTTTGGAAACAATATTGGTACACCAAAAACAAAACTTTTAAGAAACAAAAAGTTATGCATTTCTCAGGCATTCATACATCACTCTAACAATATATTTAACAGATATCTTTAACATGTGGTAGTGACCCATAAATATACATGTAATACTAATTTACTAAACTCATGTATCCCAATTTCAAATATTTATTACCTTTTGCTTGGTGACACAATTGTTGTCTTTTGGCAACTTTCCAGCTTTAATTGAGTAGAAAAAGCTCACAGTGATTTTCTATCCAATTTACTACCAAATACAGGCCATTTCCCCAAACCATAATGAAAGTGAAATTTTCCCCTGTAAAAAAGATAGTATTTTCTCTCTCCCCACCCATGCAAAAAAACAACAACAACAAAACACCAAACAACAGAAACATGCTATAGTCAGTCCCCTTGGTATCAATAAAAATAACTGTTGTAATGTGAGTAGGTAAAAATATTCTTCATATTTCACCACCATCCTTCAGTAGCACTTACTCAAAAACAAATATTATCCATTCTAAATGCTTAAAACTCATTTCCATTAAGGAAATCATAAAGTAAGCATAATTCTTAAATTATCTCACATTACATAACAGACTGTGTAACAAACACACTTGGTTTTATTTGCTTAAACTGTGAATTAAAATGAGTCTGAATAGTTCTACGAGGTAACAGTGGTATATGGTGTTTCAATTTCTCTCGTTGTATTTTCTCACGCTCCGATAACCATTGACCTAATTCTGACATTCCTAGATGTTCGGCTCTCTCCGCTGGGGTGTAAACCCTTGTTTCTATCGACCCATCCTCATTTGTTCTCTCATACTGAAAGAAAAAAACAACAAGATTATGACATCCAAACTCCAACAAACACTCCCAAAGGTCAATTTGACAATGTACAAATCATGACATTACTATGAGAACAGAAAGTAGGAAAATCTATTTTTAGCATCTGTGACCTTGACCTAATTACCTTTGCAATTCTATAAATCATGACCTAAAAGGAAATGAAAGTAGGAAAATCTATTTTTAGTATCAGTGACCTTGACCTAATTACCTTTGCAATTCTATAAATCATGACCTAAAAGGAAATGAAAGTAGGAAAATCTATTTTTAGTATCAGTGACCTTGACCTAATTACACTGCAATTTCCATAATAACATGATGGAAGATAAAAATAATACATCAGTAATCAAATGGTCTTTTGAAGCATTAAGAAAATCATGCAATTTAATGAAGATAATCAGAATATATTTTTTAATATCAATGAGATATAATTCGTATCATTCACTGTGAAAATAGGTAAAAAATATTGCACTTTTCTTCACCCATGAAATATGTATTGATTACCATAATGCCAAAATGAGTTTGTTCATATTTCACACTCACTTTAGTCTTCGATGATATTAAAAGATACACATTTTCTTTAGCTACCGTACAAAAAAATTGGACACAATTAAAATATGAACCTAAAGTGGTACTCACTTTTTCACACCTTGATAAATTTGCTCCAAGATTTGCTAAGAGTCTTGCTATGTCTTGTTTCCCATAGTCAATGGCAAGAAATATCAGGTCCCTATAAGCTGGCATCAAGGGAGATAACTAAAAAAAATGAAAAGATTATATCAAGGGAGACAACTTAAAATAACACAACAGAATATCAAGGGGGCAACTGAGACTAAATAGATAACTGTAAAGTTTTGCATCAATATGAACAACTCCTGGTCTGGTATAGCTTCAAAAAATTGAATACTATGAAGAATAACTGAATAAAAAAGTGTTTCTGAACAATCAGTTTGGATAATTTATTGGAAATTCCGAATGACTTCGTACTATGTAAGTTTTAGTAGATTCATTCTAATGATGTTTTTCTCTGTGGTTAAAAAAGTCCTGTTCTGAATAAATACATGTATAATATGGGTGAAAATATTTTTTTTTGCAAAAATTTATATTGCATAAAAATAACATAATTGAAAGAAAACTTAATATGTTATGAACAAGTGGAATATAACAAAAACTATCCAAGAGGCAGCGCTCATCACTTTTTTCAGTGCTGGATAGTATGTTAAAAGCAAAATAAGAAAGGGGGCATAATTATGCAAAACTGAACCAAAAATAATAACCAACCCAGATACCACAAATGGGTCAAGACAATAGCTCTGATTTTTGAGTAAGAATTATATTATAAACTACCTTTTTTGTCATAATAAATGTTGAACAACCAGTAGACTGTTCAAGAGAACAAAATAACATTGTTGAAAAACTTACCACCTTACATAATCCTATAACTGGAAATCTATACCCTCGAATAAATTCCTGGAACTCAAACAAACCCTTCTTCTTAGCACGAACTATTTTCCTCAATTCTTCATACTAAAAATATTTATATATATACATGTAGATGATAACACAATGAATCATGTATTTTAAAAATTTTGGAAAGATTTTGCCTAAAAAAAATGTATGTGTAGATATAGATCAAATAACAGCTTCCATTCAGCTTATTTATATGAGTTTTTATAATTATACATAAAAACACACATGTCTTATATGTGAACAAATACTCTTGTCTAATAAGTTTGCAAACACCCCTGTCTTACAAGTGAGCAAATAATGCCCTGTCATATAAGTGAGCACATAATTCCCTGTCTTACAAGTGAGCACATAATGCCCTGTCATATAAGTGAGCACATAATGCCCTGTCTTACAAGTGAGCACATAATGCCCTGTCATATAAGTGAGCTCATAATGCCCTGTCTTACAAGTGAGCAAATATCCCTGTCTTATAAATGAGCAAATATCCCTGTCTTATAAGTGAGCAAATTTCCCTGTCTTATAAGTGAGCAAATATCCATGTCTAATGAGTGAGCAAATATCCCTGTCTAATGAGTGAGCAAATATCCCTGTCTTATAAGTGAGAAAATATCCCTGTCTTATAAGTGAGTAAACACCCCTGTCTTAAAAGTGAGCAAATATCCCTGTCTTATGAGTGAGCAAATATCCCTGTCTTATAAGTGAGCAAATATCCCTGTCTAATAAGTGAGCAAATATCCCTGTCTAATAAGTGAGCACATAATGTCCTGTCTTATAAGTGAGCAAATATCCCTGTCTTATAAGTCAGAAAATATCCCTGTCTTATAAGTGAGCAAATATCCCTGTCTAATAAGTGAGCAAATATCTCTGTCTTATAAGTGAGCAAATATCTCTGTCTTATAAGTGAGCAAATATCCCTGTCTTATAAGTGAGCACATAATGCCCTGTCTTATAAGTGAGCAAATATCCCTGTCTTATAAGTGAGCAAATATCCCTGTCTTATAAGTGAGAAAATATCCCTGTCTTATAAGTGAGAAAATATCCCTGTCTTATAAGTGAGCAAATATCCCTGTCTTATAAGTGAGAAAATATCCCTGTCTTATAAGTGAGCAAATATCCCTGTCTTATAAGTGAGCAAATATCCCTGTCTTATAAGTGAGCAAATATCCCTGTCTTATAAGTGAGCAAATATCCCTGTCTTATAAGTGAGTAAACACCCCTGTCTTATAAGTGAGCAAATATACCCTGTCTTATAAGTGAGCAAATATCCCTGTCTTATAAGTGAGCAAATATCCCTGTCTTATAAGTGAGCAAATATCCCTGTCTTATAAGTGAGCACATAATGCCCTGTCTTATAAGTGAGCAAATATCCCTGTCTTATAAGTGAGTAAATATTCCTGTCTTATAAGTTTGCAAACATCCCTGTCTTATAAGTGAGCAAATATCCCTGTCTTACAAGTGAGCAAATATCCCTGTCTTATAAGTAAGCAAATATCCCAGTCTAATGAGTGAGTAAATATTCCTGTCTTATAAGTGAGAAAATATCCCTGTCTTATTAGTGAGTAAATATTCCTGTCTTATAAGTTTGCAAACATCCCTGTCTTACAAGTGAGTAAATATTCCTGTCTTATAAGTGAGCAAATATCCCTGTCTTACAAGTGGTCACATAATGCCCTGTCTTATAAGTGAGCAAATATCCCTGTCTAATGAGTGAGCATATATCCCTGTCTTATAAGTGAGCAAATATCCCTGTCTTATAAGTGAGCAAATATCCCTGTCTAATGAGTGAGCAAACATCCCTGTCTTATAAGTGAGCAAATATCCCTGTCTAATGAGTGAACAAACATCCCTGTCTTATAAGTGAGCAAATATCCCTGTCTAATGAGTGAGCAAACATCCCTGTCTTATAAGTGAGCAAATATCTCTGTCTTATAAGTGAGCAAATATCTCTGTCTTATAAGTGAGCAAATATCCCTGTCTTATAAGTGAGCAAATATCCCTGTCTAATGAGTGAGCAAATATCCCTGTCTTATAAGTGAGCAAATATCCCTGTCTTATAAGTGAGCAAATATCCCTGTCTTATACGTGAGCAAATATCCATGTCTAATGAGTGAGCAAATATCCCTGTCTAATGAGTGAGCAAATATCCCTGTCTTATAAGTGAGCAAATATCCCTGTCTAAAAAGTGAGCAAATATCTCTGTCTTATAAGTGAGCAAATATCTCTGTCTTATAAGTGAGCAAATATCTCTGTCTTATAAGTGAGCAAATATCCCTGTCTTATAAGTGAGCAAATATCCCTGTCAAATACTGATCAAATATCCCTGTCTTATGAGTGAGCAAATATCCCTGTCTTATAAGTGAGCAAATATCCCTGTCTTATAAGTGAGCAAATATCTCTGTCTTATAAGTGAGCAAATATCCCTGTCTTATAAGTGAGCAAATATCCCTGTCTTATAAGTGAGCAAATATACCTGTCTTATAAGTGAGCAAATATCCCTGTCTTATAAGTGAGCAAATATACCTGTCTTATAAGTGAGCAAATATCCCTTGTCTTATGAGTGAACAAATATCCCTGTCTAATGAGTGAGCAAACATCCCTGTCTTATAAGTGAGCAAATATCCCTGTCTAATGAGTGAGCAAATATCCCTGTCTTATAAGTGAGCAAATATCCCTGTCTTATAAGTGAGCAAATATCCCTGTCTAATAAGTGAGCAAATATCCCTGTCTAATAAGTGAGCAAATATCCCTGTCTTATAAGTGAGCAAATATCCCTGTCTTATAAGTGAGCAAATATCCCTGTCTTATAAGTGAGCAAATATCCCTGTCTAATAAGTGAGCAAATATCCCTGTCTAATAAGTGAGCAAATATCCCTGTCTAATAAGTGAGCAAATATCCCTGTCTTATAAGTGAGCACATAATGTCCTGTCTTATAAGTGAGCAAATATCCCTGTCTAATGAGTGAGCAAATATCCCTGTCTTATAAGTGAGCAAATATCCCTGTCTTATAAGTGAGCAAATATCCCTGTCTTATAAGTGAGCAAATATCCCTGTCTTATAAGTGAGCAAATATCCCTGTCTTATAAGTGAGCAAATATCCCTGTCTTATAAGTGAGCAAATATCCCTGTCTTATAAGTGAGCAAATATCCCTGTCTTATAAGTGAGCAAATATCCCTGTCTTATAAGTGAGCAAATATCCCTGTCTTATAAGTGAGCAAATATCCCTGTCTTATAAGTGAGCAAATATCCCTGTCTTACAAGTGAGCAAATATCCCTGTCTTATACATGAGAGTAAACACTTCTGTCTTATAAATGAGTAAATACTCATCTTATAAGTAAGCCCTGTCTTAAAAGTGAGCAAATACACAGGTCTTAAAATGATAATTGTAATATAAGAAGGCAAGTACTGTGTAATTACAGTATTAAAGATCCTAAATAAAATGTGTCAAATTTAATGAACTCCTGAAAATGATTTGCACAACATGATGTCATTCTGTTTTATATCCAGTAAACAGTTTCAACTTGACAATAGGGATTTTCTTTAAGCATAAATACTTCCTGGTACTTTTAAATCTCTTAAAAATCAACATAAAAAAGTGCTCTGAGTGACAAGGAATATAAACCAAAACATACTTTATCAGCGCATGCCAGTTCTTGGACCATGCCGTAACAAGCTTTCTTTTCTTTCTCTAAAAATTCCGGGCCACGTTTGGTTCCAAACTCTTCACCTGTCTCTCCTCTCTGTAAGAATATCATTTTCACAGCAATCACAATTTTCTTTAGTTTTATAAGAGTATCTTATTTGGGAGTATACTAAATTTAAGCAATTACAATGCTTGTTATTCACAATTGGCAGCCATCTTGGCAGCTATCTTGAATTTTGGTAATTTAATCAGTACAAGCTTTTCAGAAATTATTTATCACAAACCTTAGAAAAAAACTTAACAGAAAAAATAATCATTTTTCATAGACGCGCCACTGTACTGAAACCCTGACATTTAGCATGATTTTACAGTATGTTTTTACAATGCAAATGACTTAATGTCAAATTATATGCACCACAGTGTCTAGTCGCAAAAGCTGAATAGGCACGTTATCAATTTTAAATATCAAAGTATTCAAATTAAGCAGCCAAACAGAATTGAGTGTGGTCAGCTTGTGTGGAGGTGCAGATTGACCTGACTCTATCATGTTAGCATAGGTAAAACATTATCACCTCTAACATTCAAATACTTAAATCAAGGGACATAATCAAGTAGGTCACATGACATACCACATTTTGAAGAGTTGTGTCAGCTCCTGCATCAATCAAGTATTCTTGTATCTTTCTACCTACTTCAGATGTTGAACAACAAGCAAAATGGTAGGCTGTCCTGTTACACTAAAATAGATTTATATGTTGAATATAAATTTGTGTGAAGCCCTGTTACACTAAAAACATATTTGTATGTTGAACATAAATGTGTGTCATGTCCTGTTACACTAAAAACAGATTTATGTGTTGAATATAAACTTAATTTGTGTAATGTCCGGTTACACATAAAACAATTTTATATGTTACACATAAATTTTTTGTGATGTTTGTTACACTAAAAACAGATTTATGTGTTGAATACAAATTTAATTTGTGTAATATCCTTTATTAGTAAGATTTAATTCATATGTTGGACAATTACATCAAATAGTATGCTGTCATGTACATGTTGATTTATAATGTTAGACATAAAATCAAATTGTGTATTGTCCTGTTACACTTGACTTTATTCATGTTTAACATATGAGCCGTGACATGACATTTCCAACATAGTGGTCAAATGACGTAATCGTAGAAACACGATGTCAAAGTTGACGCCAAAATTACCACGTTTTTTTTTAAATTATATATCGCGCGTGTTTTCAATCAGCGCTGTACAGTTTTTAACAGTGCGTGCACCCGTTGTATCCATGGAGCGTTGTAAACAAAAAACAAGAGGGCCATGATGGCCCTGGATCGCTCACCTGACACAACCGCATCCAAGCAATGTCTTAAACAAGCATCATGGCCAAGTTTGATGACAACTGAGTCAAACATGTGACCTCTAGTGTGTTTTAAAGATTTTTCCATATTTGGGCAATGTGACCTAATTTTTGACCGGACAAGACCCATATTCAAACTTGACCTAGAAATCATCAAAACAACTTCTTGACAAATTTCCAGGATATTTGGATGAAAACTGCAGCCACTAGAGTGTTAACAAGCTTTTTCTATATTTAGCTCCTGTGACCTAGTTTTTGACCGGACATGACCCATCTTCGAACTTGACCTAGATATCATCAAAACAACCTTCCTGACAAATTTCCAGAATATTTGGATGAAAACTGCAGCCACTAGAGTGTTAACAAGCTTTTTCTATTTTTAGCTCCTGTGACCTAGTTTTTGACCGGAGATGACCCATCTTCGAACTTGACCTAGATATCATCAAAACAACCTTCCTGACAAATTTCAAGAATATTTGGATAAAAACTGCAGCCTCTAGAGTGTTAACAAGCTTTTTCTATTTTTAGCTCCTGTGACCTAGTTTTTGACCGGACATGACCCATCTTCGAACTTGACCTAGATATCATCAAAACAACCTTCCTGACAAATTTCCAGAATATTTGGATGAAAACTGCAGCCACTAGAGTGTTAACAAGCTTTTTCTATTTTTAGCTCCTGTGACCTAGTTTTTGACCGGAGATGACCCATCTTCGAACTTGACATAGATATCATCAAAACAACCTTCCTGACAAATTACCAGAATATTTGGAATAAAACTACAGCCTCTAGAGTGTTAACAAGCTTTTTCTATTTTTAGCTCCTGTGACCTAGTTTTTGACTGAAGATGACCCATTTTCAAACTTGACCTAGAAATCATCAAAACAACCTTCCTGACAAATTTCAAGAATATTTGGATGAAAACTGCAGCCACTAGAGTGTTAACAAGCTTTTTCTATTTAAGCTCCTGTGACCTAGTTTTTGACCGGACATGACCCATCTTGGAACTTGACCTAGATATCATCAAAACAACCTTCCTGACAAATTTCCAGAATATTTGGATGAAAACTGCAGCCACTAGAGTGTTAACAAGCTTTTTCTATTTTTAGCTCCTGTGACCTAGTTTTTGACCGGACATGACCCATCTTCGAACTTGACCTAGAAATCATCAAAACAACCTTCCTGACAAATTTCCAGAATATTTGGATAAAAACTGCAGCCACTAGAGTGTTAACAAGCTTTTTTCTATTTTTAGCTCCTGTGACCTAGTTTTTGACCGGACATGACCCATCTTCGAACTTGACCTAGATATCATCAAAACAACCTTCCTGACAAATTTCCAGAATATTTGGATAAAAACTGCAGCCACTAGAGTGTTAACAAGCTTTTTCTATTTTTAGCTCCTGTGACCTAGTTTTTGACCGAAGATGACCCATCTTCGAACTTGACCTAGAAATCATCAAAATAACTTTCCTGACAAATTTCAAGAATATTTGGATGAAAACTGCAGCCACTAGAGTGTTAACAAGCTTTTTCTATTTTTAGCTCCTGTGACCTAGTTTTTGACCGGACATGACCCATCTTCGAACTTGACCTAGATATCATCAAAACAACCTTCCTGACAAATTTCCAGAATATTTGGATGAAAACTGCAGCCACTAGAGTGTTAACAAGCTTTTTCTATTTTTAGCTCCTGTGACCTAGTTTTTGACCGGAGATGACCCATCTTCGAACTTGACCTAGATATCATCAAAACAACCTTCCTGACAAATTTCCAGAATATTTGGATGAAAATTGCAGCCTCCAGAGTGTTAACAAGCTTTTTCTATTTTTAGCTCCTGTGACCTAGTTTTTGACCCGAGATAACCCATCTTCGAACTCGATCTGTATTTCATTGAGACAAACATTCTGACAAAGTTTGATGATGATCCAATCAAAACTGTGACTGCTAGACTGTTAACAACCCAATTGTTAGAGTGTTAACAAGCTTTTTCTATTTTTAGCTCCTGTGACCTAGTTTTTGACCGGAGATGACCCATCTTCGAACTTGACCTAGAAATCATCAAAACAACCTTCCTGACAAATTTCCAGAATATTTGGATGAAAACTGCAGCCTCTAGAGTGTTAACAAGCTTTTTCTATTTTTAGCTCCTGTGACCTAGTTTTTGACCCGAGATAACCCATCTTCGAACTCGATCTGTATTTCATTGAGACAAACATTCTGACAAAGTTTGATGATGATCCAATCAAAACTGTGACTGCTAGACTGTTAACAACCCAATTGTTGACGACGAACGACGCACGACGCACGACGCACGACGACGGACGCCGGACATAGCCCCATCACTATACCTCACCATGACCACTTCGTGGTCAGGTGAGCTAACAATGTATGAAGTGGGCGGGTCCGTTAAATCGTATAATTATTAAACATAATGGCAGAGGGCGGAGAAGAGTTGCAGGTATTATTTGTTCTTTGTTTTGCAAGAAACTACAAGTAAGTTCAAGAATGAAACCAATTAAAGCAAATGTGTAACAATCAGATTTCTGATCTCGGAATGAGGTCTGTACTGTTCTGTAGGCAGACGTGTTTATAAAAACAACAAATGGGCATTGTAAAATATTTAAATTACCTTTTCCCCGATTTTCTTTTCTAAAGTATAAAGATGTACATATGACATGTTTCAATTATTAAATATCTGCATGGCTATGTTCAAAGATGCATTGTCTAATATTTTTAATCTGTATAACTTCAAGGCCCCTTACCGTCATACTCTGTCACTGTGTACGATGATTTAAACTGTGTACGATGATTTAAACAGCAATTTGAAATTGTAAATTTATTATGATAATTGTTCTACAGTTTGATAAAAGCTACATTAAAATAAAATCTTTATAAGAAGTTTAACTCAGTGGATAAACAAGTGTAAACACGGCTAGGTAGAATCTATGTCTATAAAAATGCAGCCGATAGATAAATCTTTGAAAAAGTGAAAATGTCAAATTTGACCACTATGTTGGAAATGTCATGTCACGGCTCATATATTGAAACAAAAAGTCTTGTTACATAATAATAAGATTCATATCATAAATATATATTCAAATAACAAGATGTATTTCTATGCAAAAAGTAGATTCAGATGTTAACAAGAGCATTGCTTTGTTACAGCTCATCTGTTAAAAAATGTAAGTTAAAAAGGGGCATAACTCCAAACATACTGCTTTCAGAATTATGCCCCTTGTCTAACAACTACATCTTGTCATAATAAGCAAGTATTTCAAGTTAAATGTTGATAACTTTTAAAATGTTTCAATAATGGGCTACAGAAGAGTTTTTACACAATAACAATGCGGAGGCAATCATAATAACTAAACGTTTTCTTTGAAACATATGAGCATATGAGAAATGTAATTGTCTTGTTGCCATAAAAGTTCAGGTTTTTTTTTCCAGGATTTTGGGAACATGACCCACACCCATAGAATTGGAAATTATAGCAGTTTTGTTAAAATTTGGGAAAAAATGCATGAATGAAATTTTGCAGTGTTTAATTGAATGCAAAGAATTAATGTCTAGGATGGCATCTTAAAACATTAAAGCACAATGATAAACAGTGAAGAAACCCTTTTTTTTTAAAGATTTTAGAAGTTGTTATTCAGTATTTTAAGTTTGTAATTTTAAATTGGGAATTTTTTCCTGTTAATTGGGAAAATAATATACTATTTTCAATTGGGAATATGACCGAATATTGGCTATGAAATAAGCCAAAAAAAATCCATGAAATTGTTTATAAAATGCATAATTTTTTACTTTTACATGCAGGTTATACTTGTTTAAAAACTGCCTCTTATGAACCATCTACGTAAAAATAGTCCAAAAAAAAAGTCAAAGCAAAATAGGGCTGAGTTTAGTGAAATAAACATCCCGTCTTATAAGTGATCCATCTTATGGCCAAGTAAATATACAACTTACACAATCTTGGCCATCTATTTCAACATCATATGGTGAGCTCAGGAAGAACTGCACTACATCGTCTCTTTGATACAGTACTGCTAACATGAGGGGTGTTCTCATGGCCTGAAAATATCAATCCACAAGTAATGACAAAGACCTTAGCTGTAATAAATATAAAAGAACATTTTTTTTGGTTTCAATGTAAGATTCAAACAAATTTCACTGAATTAACACTTGAAGATATAGTTTTGTAAGTGGCAAAGTCACACACAAATAAAAAAGTAACTGTTGATGTTCATGAAGAAATATGACTTGATCATGTAGGTAAAATTAACTAATTTTTCATTTATTTCATGCTTTTATAATGATCTAATATTTTTTGCAATCTTCTTTCTTTCATGATACAGTCTATTCACGACATCACAATATGCATGTCAAGATAGTTTAGTACTTTTTTTCTTCAAATTTTGTTAAATTTTAATATAAAGTGTACCATATGTATTTCTAGTAATCATGTACATTCTACTTGTGATGGATTTTCTTTTTGCCAAAATTTCCATTCATGTATGACATATTTTATTTCACATTTCATATGTAATTAAACAAATGTAACATAAATGCAGACCTGACCTTGTCCAAGGTTTCTATGACTCATGTAAACTTTGATGCAAGATGATGATGACGTTTGACCTTGAATACACTGACCTTGCCCCTGGTACCCATGGTTCATTTAAATTTTGATGTATGACAATGATCTTTGATCAAGAATACTCTGACCATGACCCAGGTAACTTTTTTCATTTTTTCATTAAACTCTGAAGTGCAATTTTGACCTTGAATACACTGACCTTACCGAAGTTCTTATATTGTTTATATAGTATATACATTTATAATTTTGAAGCAACACAATGACCTTTGACCTAGAATACACTGACCTTGCCCAATGTTCTTATGGTTCATTTAAATTTTGATTTATAAGTATGACCTAAGACATGGAATACCTTACCCAGGTTATTTTGGTTCTTAAGTTTTAAATTTTGAAAAAAGTCAATGACCTTTGATCTAGAACACACTGACCTTATCCCTGGTTCTTATAATAAGTTCCGGTGTGTGAGAATACTCAAAGACTCTTCTCATCTCTCTCAAAGCACCATCTTTTATCACATCCTGTATCTCCTTCACCTCTTCCTGTAAAACATTCACAAAAAATACAGTCGTTTTAGGAGTATATGTATTTAGAACTTGAATTTGACGTAAGTGGATTTTACTAGGCTTAGATCTCAAGAGAGAAAAAAGCATAAAGTGAGATCTGTTCTTGTAAAATCCATGAGAGCCAGATATTAGACACAGATCAAGGCTACTACTTTAAGTTATAATCTTTTTGTGCTTTGTTTGTTGGACTGACTGGTTTTACTGTGCACCAACACAGTATAGGTCATATGGCACCGAAACAATAAAAGATAATTTTAAAAAGATGATTTTGGCTAATCTTTGGTGTTACAAACTTCAAAGCAACACCATAGGTGAAAACCACCTCATCTGCTGGATCTAAGAGAAGCATAGACTCTAGTTATTTGAACTCATTTAAATGCCTCATGCCATCATACAGGAATAAATGGTTGCTGCAATTCTTACGCCTCAACCATTGAAGGCAACCCCTCAGCTATAAGGGGCACTCCTTTTATGACATTTCCTCCATTATTTCCAAGTATATGTTCATTATAATGTAACAGTTTAGACAGCAACTTCCTTTCAGACTGTAATCATTTACAAATACAGATTTCCTTTCTGTCAGGTTGTATTTGTGCATGGGATACAGAAAAATATACCACATAATAACTGATGATAAGTAACAAAACATGAAATTTATGATTAAATCTTTTTACGATTAGGATCAAGATCAGGTATAATCAGGTACAATCAGAATTGATGTTTCAAACTATCTCTACACTGTCAGTCCGCTTGTTTCTTAAATACTGCATGTAGTGGAATCTCTGCTAAATTCCTAAAAAGGATTTGTTTCTAAAGCTTCCTATTTTGGGACTGTGCATTATCAACTTAGGGTATATTTAATAAGATGAAAATTTGAAGTAAGTCAATGACCAGTACAGAGGCTTGTTAAGGACTGCATGGATGTGAAGGCTGACCTGGTTCTGTTATGGTAGCAAAGGCTAATCACTTTTGATCTGGCAAGGAAACAGCTATGTAACTGTTTATCTATATACAATATTGCCTTGCCTTTAACCACTAGAGCACAGTCAAACCAGGCTTTATATATATCCATGCAGTCTGAGTAGGCTAACCAACTAAAAATTCAAGATACCCAGTAATTGATACTGAAACTGTTCAAAATGATAATAAAGAATTCCAAATTTCCATGCTAACTTACATATTGCAAGAGTGAAAATGTGAAAAAGTTTTTCTAATAGAATAACAGAAAAGTAGGTATTAAAATTAAGTATACAGAAAAACAAGTAGGAAACAAACCTGGAAGGTTGGCAGCCACTGTGTAAACTTCAGAACTTCATCGGATTCATTGCCTGACGCATATATAAATGTATCCCTGTACTAAATAGAGATTCAATCATAAACAGGTATGAAGACTCCAATGAGGTCCAAAACCCTTAAGTACATTTGTCATTTAGCATGAGTTTCAAAAATATGCAAACTCATAAATTATTAAATATTTAGAAAAAACATAAAGTCAAATATAGTTTTATAACATTTCATTATATAAACATATATAATCTCATCAAAATATTTTTAAAATTAAATGTTAGCCAATTTTATATAACCAATTACAATTAATACACCATTTATAATCAACAGATATGTAAGTCTATTAATAGAATACTTGCACAGACAGTCACTGACAAGCAAACAATCCCACTCCCTATCCTACATTACTGAAATTTGCTTACATTGTGTGTGATCATCAAACTGTCATAACCACAAACTGCCATCTCAATTAGACATTCCATATCCGAGCTCCGTAATATCTTGATATAGTGCTGAAGAATATATATATAACAAGATATGTTTGTAAAACATGTATGCCCCCTATCAGCAGCCAATTAGTCATGTGATAAGGTTATTATGCATGACTTCTGACCCAGTGATCAAACAATTAATAAGGGTTATCAAGTATCTACTGGTCATGACCTTAACCTTTGACCCCTTGACCCAAAACTCAATAGGGGTCATCTGCTGGTCACGACCAATCATCATACAAAGTTTGAAGTTCCTAGGCCTAAGCGTTTTTAGTTAATTGATCAGAAACCGTTTTTACCTACAAGGTCAATGTGACCTTGACCTTTGACCCCTTGACCCCAAAATCAATAGGTCATCTGCTGGTCATGACCAATCACCATACCAAGTTTGAAGTTCCTAGGCCTAAGGGTTCTTTAGTTATTGATCGGAAACCGTTTTAACATACAAGGTCAATGTGACCTTGACCTTTGACCCCAAAATCAATAGGGGTCATCTGCTGCTCATGACCAATCACCATGCCAAGTTTGAAGTTCCTAGGCCGAAGCGTTCTTTAGTTATTGATCAGAAACCGTTTTTACTTACAATGTCAATGTGACCTTGACCTTTGACCCCTTGATCCCAAAATCAATAGGGGTAATCTGCTGGTCATGACAAATCACCATACCAAGTTTGAAGTTCTTAGGCCTAAGCGTTCTTAAGTTATTGATTAGAAACCGTTTTTACTTACAAGGTCAATGTGACCTTGACCTTTGACCCCTTGACCCAAAACTCAATAGGGGTCATCTGCTGGTCACGACCAATCATCATACAAAGTTTGAAGTTCCTAGGCCTAAGCGTTTTTAGTTAATTGATCGGAAATCGTTTTTACCTACCTTTGACCCCTTGACCCCAAAATCAATAGGTCATCTGCTGGTCATGACCAATCACCATACCAAGTTTGAAGTTCCTAGGCCTAAGGGTTCTTAAGTTATTGATTGGAAAGCATTTTTACCTACAAGGTCAATGTGACCTTGCCCTTTGACCCCTTAACCCCAATATCAATAGGGGTCATCTGCTGGTCATGACCAATCACCATACCAAGTTTGAAGTTCCTAGGCCTAAGGGTTCTTTAGTTATTGATCGGAAACCGTTTTTACCTAAGAGGTCAATGTGACCTTTGACCCCTTGACCCCAAAATCAATAGGGGTCATCTACTGATCATGACCAATCACCATATCAAGTTTGAAGTCCCTAGGCCTAAGCGTTCTTAAGTTATTGATCGGAAACCGTTTTTACCTACAAGGTCAATGTGACCTTGACCTTTGACCCCTTAACCCCAAAATCAATAGGGGTCATCTGCTGGTCATAACCAATCACCATACCAAGTTTGAAGTTCCTAGGCCTAAGGGTTCTTTTGTTATTGATCAGAAACCGTTTTTACCCAAGAGGTCAATGTGACCTTGACCTTTGACCCCTTGACCCCAAAATCAATAGGGGTTATCTACTGATCATGACCAATCACCATACCAAGTTTGAAGTTCCTAGGCCTTAAAGTTCTTTAGTTATTGATCGGAAACCGTTTTTGCTTACAAGGTCAATGTGACCTTGACCTTTGACCCCTTGACCCCAAAATCAATAGGGGTCATCTACTGATCATGACCAATCACCATACCAAGTTTGAAGTTCCTAGGCCTTAGGGTTCTTTAGTTATTGATCGGAAACCGTTTTTGCTTACAAGGTCAATGTGACCTTGACCTTTGACCCCTTGACCCCAAAATCAATAGGGGTCATCTACTGATCATGACCAATCACCATACCAAGTTTGAAGTTCCTAGGCCTTAAGGTTCTTTAGTTATTGATCGGAAACCGTTTTTGCTTACAAGGTCAATGTGACCTTGACCTTTGACCCCTTGACCCCAAAATCAATAGGAGTCATCTACTGGTCATGACCAATCACCATACCAAGTTTGAAGTTCCTAGGCCTAAGGGTTCTTTAGTTATCACTCGGAAACCATTTGGTCTACGGACCGACGGACCGACAGACCGACGGACCGACAAGTGCAAAGCAATATACCCCCTTTTCTTCGAAATGGGGGCATAATAATTATGGACATTGGAAACTATGGTATGACATTGTTGGAAACAACGTTGCATTTCCATCAAAATATTTGTAGCTTTTTTTAAAGATCAAGTAAAAAAGTTTAATAACATATCAGACTAGAGGGTTTATAAAGCAATTGCATCTTAGGCTTTGCTACAAGCATAGTATATTAGTGCTTAATATATCATATCTTAGTGTTAATAAGTAACTGTATCTAAAGGGTACAAAATTTCATAAAAGTTTGGGTTTTCTTTGGGTTTTCTTGGAGAGGTTGGGTTTCTTTACTGTAAGAGGGAGAGTATTCTCACATGCATATTTGAAAGTATCAATAATGGTTACCTCCCTTTTACATCAGAAATTATTATCACTATCATTTTTGGATGAGTTTTATATCACGCAAACACAGTAGAGGTCATATAGCAAGTATTACTGGTGGAGAGATTTATCAGGTGCATTTTCGTGCATTAATTTGTCATTGACAGGTACCCAAGTAAAACCACAGACATTCCGTAAGCTAGCTGAATCTACTTGCTTGTCACCAGACTGAATTTAGGAGGAAGCTTACATTAATGTTTTATCTTATTTATAAAGAGCATAAAGATATACCTTGTCAATAAGGTCAACAACATCTCTCCTCCTTGCAAATCTTGCAATATCTCGTGGATTACAGCCAGTCTGAAATATATAATACACAAAATTCTATGATATTTACATTTAGATGTGACACTGACCTTAAGGCAGTACAGTGGCAGTGAAAGCAGGCTGCCCATCACCTCGTTGATGTGATAACTTGAGCCATTAGTTTGAAGAAAAGTTATAAAGGAAAAACTTTTGAGACAGACAAACAGCCAACTGGCTGTCATAACCATAGAACACAATATCAAATATTTTTAGCCCCATTCACATTATGTGATTTGGATATAATAATATTTCATGGATAGCTGCTAGTCTAAATCAAATATCTTGTTGATAAATAGAAGTTTAAATGAAATACCTTATGAAATAATGCAAGTCTGAATCAAATATCTTTTCAAATAAATTTAATCTGAATTCAATATAATATGATGTAATGCAGGCCTGAATCAAATACCTTGTGCATTGTAACCTAAAGCAAATATTTTGTGAATTTAAATACAAGCCTGAATCAAATATCTTATGAATTAATGCAAGTTTGTATCAAATACAATGTAAAATGTGAATTAATGCAAGTAGTAAATAAAAACAAAAAAATTATATTTCAGTAGCATGCATACATATTACATAGTTTAAATTTTTCAAAATTTTTGCACCAATCCATCTTTTTAAGAGAAGGTAATTTGACAACAGCACTGCATGTCCATCTAGGGCCTGAATTTTTAAACATGTAATTAGCCAACCCCCCCCCCCCCTCAGACAAAAGCCGCCCATCTAAACCCCCATGAAAATTTACACATAGGACAAAAGCCCCACTCTCATCAAATATACAGGTAGGGGTAAAAGCCCCCCCCCCCCCATCAAATTTACATATTGGACATTTTCTGGAACTAAACTTCAGCATAAACTGTGTGAATAATATTTCATCTATATTTCATCACTCAAGTGTGCTTTAATTATTCCATCCATTGCACTCTTCATCTACACTTCTCTTCATGTTTGAAACCCAAGTATGCATGTTTGTATTATAGTTGTGTTTGTTTTGTGTTTACGAACATTGTATGGACATAATTACATGTACAGTAGTGCTAAGGATATTGATCCCTGTACAAAATAAAGTGATTTAAAACATTACTAATCTTAGACTGTTTTTTAAGAGGCTTTTGTCCTACCTGTATTTTTGAGGGGGAGGGAGCTTTTTGTCCTATGTGTAAAATTGATTGGGTGGGGGGGGGGCTTATGTCCTACTCTCATCTTCGGTATAATTTCTACAAACTTCTTTCTTGTTAGAATATTGAAATATATTTAAGGAATCAAATTATTCACACTGAAAAGAAGAATAATTATTTCTCTTATTACAATATACAGTTTTAACCTACAATCTTTCAATCAAGTTATCATTGCCAAAGTACATGTAAATAATTTTCAACAATCAGTATATGAACCGGTACTGGGAAGAATTAAATTTTTTTTTCATAAATTGACAGTCATTAAAAATAGTAGATTGTTATTTTATTTTTTGTTATTGGCTCGTGGCCAATATTAAGAGATACATTGATATTGTCATTAAAATTGTTTTGTAAAACACCTTGAAATAAACTTTGCGTTTCTTTGGTTCAAACTATTTCAGAGAGATTTTATCTTTAAATCAATATTAAAGTCTATCAAGACAGAAAAGAGGTGACTGTGAAACCTTTAAATTGAGTTTTTAGTATTTACAAAATAAAAATGAAATGAAATTTTTTTATCTATTATCAAAATACTGAGAAATATATTGATTCAAAACAGAAAAAGAGAATTTTCATCTAATGGAACTGGTATGACAAAAACAACAGCGACCACAGCAAATTTGAAATTTATTATTTAAGGTATGTAATTTTTATTTTATAAAGTTTGGTACAGTTTTAACCTTTTTTCTTCCATTTATGAAACAAAATTTAAATATATACTATGATAAAATACTGTATTAAGTGAACATTTTTTACACAAAAACTTTGTGAATGTCCAAAAACAGACTTTTTGTGTGCAGAAATATTTGCAAAATACAATTTTCTAAACTCCTATATTATTGGTAAATATTCAGTTTAACAGTTTAATATGAACATTTTTCGTTATTATTTCTTAGTGTGAAATATTAACTGATTTAAGGACTTCACTTCAGTTGATGTAACTTTTGCGAGATCAATTATTTGCAAATTATTTTGATTCGCAAATAATTGCAAATATTTCCACATTGCAAAATTAACCACTTTTACAGTAAAATTATCACAAATATTCACAAAAAATTGTATGCTTCATGACCTGACAATGATATCACCTGACCCTCTCATTAGAAAATTCTAAAACATTGACAGATATTTATAATAGGGCAGATCTGTCAAGGTCAAGCTCATGTTTGAATTACTCAATTTGAAAGTTTGATCCTGAATATTGTTTTGTCCAAGAATGTATCAAGTTGAAGCCATTTCATAAAGGAAGGAAGAAATCTTAAACACCATAAATTTTAAGTTTTAATAATACTTATTTCAGCAATATAATAAAGTGTTGTCCAAAATGTTATAGTGTACACATCATTTGCTTATTAGTAACTAAGTTTTACGTAATTCAAATATACCTGCATATTTGTCCTTGAGGGTCAAGGACAATTAAAAGTTAAGGTCATACTCGAGTAACAACACATGAACCGGTTTTATTGAAAGTGTTGTTATGTCCAAATCTGAATCAAACTAAAAGGGGCTTTATTGTCACAAAAACATAAGTCTATCCCATATGTACTGTAAGGATGGAACAGAGCTTTCTTTTTTTATACGCAGGTTGGAATTTAAAAAAAATTGGTTTTAACAGATTTAATAAATAAAGGTGAAGCCTAAAAATGATGTGGAAATGAGGAAATACATTGTGTTTTAGGTACTGATCACTCCTGTAAAGTTTGCCAAAATCCCACCAGTACTTTGACGTGTCAAAACCAGACAAACTATCTACCTATATTATTAGTTCTGGCAACAACTTTATGCAGCAAAGTGGAATGTGTCAGCAATATACAGAAAAAGAGTAAGTATTGATCAATCCCGTGAATTTTCTTTGACATCCCTTCAGCAGTTTAACCTGTGAAAGCTGAACATGATTTTGTTATTTTAAGCTGTGGTGGCCATTTTGTAAAGTGAAGGGGAACATACTTGGTCAAGGTCATCTTTAGATCAATGTCAAAATTAAGTTGCTCTATTGTCTGATTTTATTGACCTGTCAATTATGAATACATTATAGCACTCATCTAAATATTCGATACCACTGCAGATCTGTCCATATAGATTACGAGAATTAATTTGCAGTATAATTATGACTAATGTTTTGAAAAGTCACATCATCTGAATTTTTATGTTCTGGTTAAATATATCCGCAAAAGCGCAATCGGTTGAGTGATTACCTCAAATATTAGAGGTCTATGGTTCGATCCATACTTTTGCAATTGTTTTTAGACCCCTTTTTTATTTTTGAAGTACTGGGCTTGCAAAATGGTCTAAACGGATATGGAACAACTTTAATAAGATACACAGATTTGTTTGTTTTGTTTTGAATTTTATGGCATTGAAATGACATTTATTGATTTAAATTTAATTTCTTAAACAACGCTATTTAAAAAGTATATTGTCTTAATAAGCGCAAAACATATTAAACAAGAGCTGTCCGTAAGACAGCGCGCTCGACTTTTTTATTGCTTGCCAATAAAAAAAGTTTTTGCAGTAAAAGGCAATACAAGAATCTCTGTATTTTTAAAGTGAACAATGGCCATGAGCATTAAGATATTTAGTGAAGAATTATTTTATTATGACATAATTTATGGTAAAGTGAACAAGTGGATAGGAATGAATTTTTTTAGATTTTTTAAGTTTTTTAGTGCTTGCCTATAATACAAAACATTGACAGTTAAGGGCCATAATTCAAATAAAATCTTTGACAGAATTACCTTCTCCTGGACATGTTTGGGAATCATGATTGTAAACAAGTATTCCAACTTTCAAATTAATATCTCAAACAGTTCAGTCAAAAAGTGGACTGGTACTAAAAACTTAACCAAGATTCTAAGTCGATAAAAGGCCTTAATTTTTAAAACAAATCCTTGACAGAGTTACCTTCTCTTGCGTACAGATGGGGGTAATGATGTGAAATAGCATTAAAAGTTTCAAAGCAATATCTCAAAGGGTTAAGGCAATAAGTGGATTTTACCAATATTCAATGTATTTTCTAAGTCAAAAAGGGGCATAATTCTGTCAAAAACCTTGACAGAGTTATGTCCTCTTGTCTGTTGATGAAGGTCGTGATGGTAAACAAGTATGGTCAGTTTCAAAGCAATACCTCCAATGGTTTTGAAATAAAGTGAGGTGGTACAAAAAACTTAACCAAGCTCAATACACTTTCTAAGTCAAAAAAGGGCCATAATTCTGTCAAAAACCTTGACAGAGTTATGTACTCTTGTCTGTAGATGGAGGTTATGATGGTGAACAAGTATGGTAAGTTTCAAAGCCATACTTGTAATACTTCTGAAATAAAGTGGGGTGGTACGAAAAACTTAACCAAGGTGTGACGCCAACGCCAACGCCGACGCCGACGCCGACGCCGACGCCGGGGCGAGTAGGATAGCTCCCCTTTTCATAGAAAAGTCGAGCTAAAAACCAACAAAAAGAACAACTTAATAAAAAACAATCATACCTTCAATAATGTGGAAAATATAAATAAGAGAAAAGCATACAATAATTAAAAGCAGTCAAGATCTTACAAGAGGTGGGACATTTTGTAGTAATAAACTGGTAGTTAACCCTATTGGGCTATAACGGTGACAGTATAGCTATTTCATAGAAACAAAAATAAATTCAATCAAAATCTTAAGAAGTTTAACAATCATTTATCAAAGATTGATATATTGTGTGCATTGACCGTGTAATCAGTATGCAATTGACAGGTTAATAAAATCAAATAATACATGAGGGTTAATGTTGTTGAACAAATATGCATCAACTCTATCTACAAATAACAAAATAAAGGCCAAATCATTTTATTATATAGGTCAAGGCAATTCAAAGGTCAAAGTCAAGTTGATTTCAACCTCCTTGAAGGTATTGTTAAAAAGGGTTATTATGACTAAGTATGAATACAATAAATCTATTTAAAGCAAAAGTATAGCCAATTATGGCCAATTTTACCAAAAAAAATATTAAAGCTCAATGTCATTTATGTGCCATCAGATCTGATATGGCTTAAAGTTAAAAACATGACAATTATTCTTTATAAGTTTTATTGATCGGTTGAGCAGTATAGAAGAATCAATTATTATAATACAAGGTAACTGCCCTAATATACTGTACTTAAATCTGATAATAATACTTATAATTTGTCAAAAATAGTTAATTAAATACAAAAATTGTAAAGCTATCACCTTGCACATATAAATACCCCAATCAAATTTTGTTGTGTAAAAAAAGAAAAAAACTTATACAATTTATGGTTTCTGATTTTTATAATATTAACCTCCTTGCAAAAAGTGGCAGCAATTTTGGGCGTTAATATTTCATATCATATGAAATAATCAATATTAACAGATGATTTAAATGAATAATTGTGAAATTCTTTTACATATATTATGCAGCAAAATATTATGCAGCAAAATATTATTATAGCGCAAATATGTAAAAGATTTTTATTCATTTTCATGGTGATGATAGAATTAAAAGAGATTTTTATCTTATCATAAGCATATGATATATTGAGAATTACCCCAAAATGGCAGCCAGGGGAGGGAATAATTGTTTTATAAAAAGCATTTATATCATACCATACATTTCAAAATAATCCTTTTGGCTAACATATACAGATAAAAATAAAGACACCTTTATAATTATCTATGACAGTTGATGATTTCATTTATTATTTCAGGAAAACACCGTTATCTTGTGTTCATCTGTATATCTATGATATAATAGCATTCAGAGTAATTCAGTGCAGATGTTGTGCATTTGGATTTGTTCAGCACTTAACACTGCCTGCATGGCTTCATTTGGGTAATTATATTTGAGTAAGCTAGGTATTAGCTAGTAACTGTATTTAAGCAGGAGAACATTGTACAATTACTATACAGAACCAAATTTCCATAATGCTTCGTGGTCATGCTTCAGTTGAAGCTTCTAGAAGCAGGGAAGGGAATAATGCCATTAGTGGACAGACATCTAATTTACATCCTCACTCAAATGATACAGCACACACTGAGATCCTCATTCCAGGTGAAGAACGGACACATGACGCCTTAGAAGACAGGGATAATGGTGGCTTAGAACAGACGGAAACCACAGCTAGAACTAGAAGTCAACCTTCAGTACTTCATAGAAACCTATATTCCAGAACCAGGGAAGGGAATAATGCCATTAGTAGACAGACATCCAATTTACATCCCCACTCAAGTGAAACAGCCAGCTCACACACTGAGATCCTTATTCCAGGTGAAGAACGGACACATGACGCCTTAGCAGACAGGGATAATGACGGCTTAGAACAGACAGAAACCATGGCTAGAACTAGAAGTAAAACTTCAGTTCTTCATTTAACCCTAGCTTTAAGAAACAGGGAAGGGAATAATGCCTTTAGTAGACAGACACCCAATTTACATCCCCATTCAAATGATACAGCCAGCTCACACAATGAGATCCTCATACGAGGTCAAAAATGGACACATGATGCCTTAGAAGACAGGAATAATGATGGCTTAGAACAGACGGAAACCAGGGTTAGAACTAGAAGTCAAAAATCAGTTCTTCATATAACCCTAGCTTTTAGAAGCAGGGAAGGGAATAATGCCTTTAGTAGACAGACACCCAATTTACATCCCCACTCAAATGATACAGCCAGCTCACACAATGAGATCCTCATACCAGGTCAAAAACGGACACATGATGCCTTAGAAGACAGGAATAATGATGGCTTAGAACAGCCAAGAAGTTGTGGGTCCTCTCATGGTAAAGATTTTACACACTAAAAATAGAATGTTGTTTTGTAGTTTATTTCATGCTTTCCAGTGTTTTATTGTAATATATCAGATGATTATATTCTGATAAACCACTAGTGAAATTTATAAAATATAATTTTCACTGTAGCCGAACTATATCTGAATGCGGATGAAAAGAAAATCATAACTAAATGGAATAACAGGCAGAAATAAATGCCGTCATACGTAAATTTTGCTTCTTTAGGAAAAGAAAGTCGATGTCACCATACATCATGTTAAAAATGTAACAAAAATTAGAGAAATTTAACAGAACTAAATTTCAAAACTGATGATGTGACGTCATGATGTGATGACGTCACAAAGGAGAATGCGCGATGTTACGCGGGAAAATCAGTTAAAAGTACTTAGAATCACTGAAAAAGCATGAAATAAAAAGAAAATTTATTTGTTTTACATATAAGATTGAAATATATTTCATTCGTGAACACCAGCTATTATATTTTCACTCGTGGCTACGCCACTCGTGAAAATATTGCATCTGGTGTTCACTCAGTGAAATTATATTTCAATCTTACATGCAAAACATACAAATATCCTCTATATAACGGCATATTTAAACTGTTAAAACAAATGTTTCAATCTTTTTATCACTTATAAAAATGTTAAATAAAACATGTTGTATTGACTGTGATACATTAAAAACCCCATTTTATGCATGTTCATTGACATGGTATTACAATATTAGTTTTATTAATTGCTCCCCCTGTAATACATGCACCTGTCATATTTGAACTAAGAAAATCTTATCTGGATACATTTATCATGCAGATAAATTAGAAAAGTAAACTACAAGTAAATTTAATTTCACATGTTTTGTGAGTGTAATTTCACCCTGAATGACAGCTTATTTAGCAGAAATATCTAGCATCTAAATTTTAAAGTTTATAAAATCTTTGTATGTACATTTCAATTTCAGATAGAGAAGAGATGGAAAATTGTCTCCCAAAAAGTGATTACCTTGAACCATATCTAAATGACATATATGAAAAAAAGTGTGTAATCCAGGCTTCAGAAGATGAAGTTGAGTTTATCAAGACAGGAATAGAAACTCTTGCAGAGGAAATGGTTAAATGTAGTCAAGACGATGCTGCAAAACAACATAAAACAAGTCCTAGGAATGATGATTTCACCAGTAAACCTTCTTTTGCAAAGGTAGGGAGTTTTTATGAAGGAACAAAGAATGCATTTCCGGATGAATTTGATATCATTTTCCTTGACTGTCCCTCAATTATAGACCATACCATTGACAGCCTCATTTATAATTTGAATCAAAAGTTTGATGAATCTTTGAAATATACTGTTTCTGTTGATGAGCATACAACAAGGGAACTTTATTTTAATCAATATGTAGGGAAATATGGTCCAGCATATACAAGCAAATTCATTTACAAAAATGAATCAGGTGTGGAAAGGCCCATTTACTTAGATCTTGTTCCTGGCATCAGGCATTTTGTCAATGAAACAAATAGAGAGGAGTTCACAGAGTATGTAGGAATACAGTGTTCAAGCCTAAATTCGTTTCGTAATGAAATTTTTAAGGCTGGTAATTATCTCCAAATAGCTGGTAAAGAGTTTTCTTCAAATACAGAGACTGAAGTACACTTTATGAAGAACGTGTTGTCATCAAAACATAGAAAAGTGTACAGAATACTTAAATCTCTCATAAATGGAGATGGGGGCGATAAATTACTGCAGGCCTATCTAAAGCTTATGGATGAAAGAACCATTTTTTCATCATACATGATAAAACTGAATATGTTTTATCACCATGATAACTGCAGAAATGCAAATGATGAAAAATTAGGAGACTGTGTTATTCAAATACTGGACCAACTGCCCAGAAACTATTTGATGAAACCCGACGGTACATTACATTATTCACCCAATCATCATACCAGCGGTACATTACAATCTTTACCCAAACTTCTTGAACATTTAACTTGTCATATAAAGGCAATGCAAATGTTTAGCAATGACGGGTATGACTATGAGAGTACAAAGTTTAAATCTGTGTCAAGACTATGCTTTGATGAATTCGACGAAGATGGTGACAGACACAGACACCCTTTGTGGTTTGATTACAGAGAAAAGTTGGATGGAAAGGAAGAACCTAGTTATTATAGCTATATAATTATTTGGAATACCACAAAATACAGATAAAACATATGTCCAGGAGTTGGATTTAAAACCACAAAGTCATCGTATATTATTTCCATTGTTTGGAGAAACAATAACTTTTCCTGTCATAACAGAACAATCTCAGAAAGAAAAACCAGACAAATATGTTTATCTGGTCCCTACATAATAACCTATGTTAGCATGCTTAACCCTTTCCCCCATGAGCATATTGTGAAAAATGGCCGTTTTCACTGAAAAGCCTCCTGTTACAAGTTCAAACTGCTATGAAACTATGAAAAATGCTTCAATACTAATCAAACTTGGCACAAATGTTGACTGGACCATTGCCTTTGTAACGACATGCTCAGTCTTAAATTTCCTGTTACCATGGCAACGAGGGGACATCTCAAAATTGCCAAAAATCACTATTTTGCCTCGTTTTTTTCCATCAAAATTGATTTCAAAGTGCTGCAACTTCTCAAGGGATTGAGATAGAGTCAAAGGCTTTTCAGCGTTGGTTACACGTTACCTTATGATCGACCTGGGGTCATTTTTAGCCTCTCACAAGTCCAAAATTTTCTTGGCGATAAGGGGGACTCCGCCCCCCTTCAAACCCACTTCTTTTAGCAACATTCCTCAAACGAAAACATATGTTTGGGGCCCCAATAGGACATTTTTTTCAATATTTTAGACCTAAAAAAAAGGGGGGGGGTTGAAAGTGCGTTGTTTTGCGTATATATGAGGTAAAGGGTTAATCTTTACCCATCAAAGCTGAACAATGTTTTTTGGAAATAGGCAATACATTTGACTGTGGCCATCAATGGTTATACTTCAGAACTCTGGCCAAAAAGCATGGTTCAAGTAATAACCATGGCCTTACAAATTAATGACCTTGGTTTTCCCACAATTGACTTTGTTACAGTTCATCTTGACAATCATAAAGCTACACTTTTTTGCAAAATAAATCAAGGCCACAATAAGATAACTACTCATTATCAACCAAAAGAAAACACCAAGGTGTTTTGTCAAGGCAAGGAAAGCACCAGGGTATTTTTGCCAAGCCAAGGAAAACGCCAGGAAAATTTCATCAACCATCCATTCATCCAGATTACAACAGGCCTAACAGCAGACTAAACAATCCTTAGTACTAATTCCACATTTTAATCACCCTATTGGGATACCGAGTTTACCCCAAATTAATATACACATTATCAACCACTTCAAAAGACAAAACAAAAACAATCATCATGACTTCTTTCTTCAACAGAAGACCAATATGCCTGCAGTTTCTTTCTAAAAAAGAATTATTGAAGTAGTTTTTATAGTTTTATAGCAATTTGAACTTGTAACAGGAGACTTTTCAATGACAACAGCCATTTTTCACAAAATGCTCATGAAGTAATGGGTTCAAGGGTATTAATACTTTAAGCTTTAAGAATAACCTTACATATTGTGTATGCACAATTTGCATAATAATATACAAATACATTTACATATTCATAAAAATAACTAAAGAAAACAAGAGGGCCATGATGGCCCTGAGTCGCTCACCAGAAACAACTGCTTTCCAGTGTTGGAATGTCAATATATTCTAATATTAAATTGAGCAAAGGATATGTTTAAACAATAATTTGAAGAAATGCCATGACCTGGAGTATTTAAGCTTTAGCTTAAATGGGGCTAATCAAATCAATATGAGCAAACTTGATAAAAGACTACTTAAAAATCCTACAAAGTTTGGTGATCATCTATCAATTATTTCAGTAGGAAATGATGTTCGAAGGATTTTTCTATTTTTCTATTTTAGCTTTAGTGGCCCCTAAAAGGGGGTAATCAAATTAATATGAGCAAACTTGATAAAAGAGTACCAAAGAATGCTACAGACAAAGTTTGGTGATCATCTATCAATTGGTTCTGAAGTAGAAGATGTTTAAAGGTTTTTCTATTTTTAGCCCTTGAGACCCCTTAAAGGGGCCAATCAAAATAATATTAGCAAACTTGATAAAAGACTATCCAAGAATGATACAGACAAAGTTTGGTGATCATCAATCCATTAGTTCTCTAGAAATAGACATTTAACAGTATTTCTATTTTTAGCTTTAGCAGCCCCTAAAAGGGGCCAATCAAATTTATATGAGCAAACTTGATAAAACACTACCAAAGAATGCTACAGACAAAGTTTGGTGATCATCTATCGATTAGTACTGTAGGAGAAGATGTTTAAAGGTTTTTCTATTTTTAGTCCTAGAGACCCCTAAAAGGGGCCAATCAAAATAATATTAGCAAACTTGATAAAAGACTACCTAAGAATGCTACAGACAAAGTTTGGTGATCATCCATCTATTAGTTCTGTAGAAATAGACGTTTAAAGGTTTTTCTATTTTTTAGCTTTTGCGGCCCCTAAAAGGGGCCAATCAAATTTATATGAGCAAACTTGATAAAACACTACCAAAGAATGCTACAGACAAAGTTTGGTGGTCATCCATCCATTAGTTCTGTAGAAATAGACGTTTAAAGGTTTTTCTATTTTTTAGCTTTTGCGGCCCCTAAAAGGGGCCAATCAAATTTATATGAGCAAACTTGATAAAACACTACCAAAGAATGCTACAGACAAAGTTTGGTGGTCATCCATCCATTAGTTCTGTAGAAGAAGATGTTTAAAGGTTTTTCTTTTTTTAGCCAAAGAGAATCCCTAAAAGGGGCTAATCAAATTAATATGAGCAATCTTGATAAAAGACTACCCAAGAATGCTACAGACAAAGTTTGGTGATCATCCATCCATTAGTTCTGTAGAAGAAGATGTTTAAAGGTTGTTCTATTTTTAGCTCTGCTGACCCCACAAGGATGCTACAGACCAAATTTGAAGTAAATCTGTCCAGTAGTTTCAGAGAAGAAGCTGTTGTTGACGCATGACGACGGACTACGGACGCCGGAGCATCCCCCTTTGATACTAATAGCTCACCCTGAGCCTTCGGCTCTGGTGAGCTAAAAAGGGGGGTGAAAAAGGCGTTAAAAGGCGTGTATATCGCGTAATGGGTTAAAGGGGCCTTAGCATGTATTTAAAAATTGAATAGTTTTTAGCAGTATGTATATAATGTTTGTTGTTTAATGTATGTTATGTTTAAAACAATATCAACAAGAGCAGTGGTCATAATCAATTTGTTTACTAATTAAATAAAGTTTACAGCCAATTGTATCAGAAAAAAAACTTGATCTAGACGCTCTAATGGGCAGTAAGGACACTTCATAATAAGCTATGAGATATTCCAGTGGTTGTGTTTTACTTATTTATTTTTCTATGATGTCTCACTTTTGTTTTCTACATATATAAATCAGTACTAAAAACATAAAAATCGTATAATTTTGTGTAGAAAATGACTGTGACCAAATTGCAAAACTGAAACACAAAATTTTCAATTATAATGTACATGTACATTTTTTACTGTTAATTTTGTACTAACACGTGTAAATTTTTAATTGTTCCACTGTATTTTATATTGATAAAACATGCAATGCCTTATGTCAGAAAAATGGCATTTTACTATACAAAAGTCCCCTTTTTTACCTTTTTGTTTTCTTGATTTCTTTTTGTTGATGTTTCAAAATGATAAGCAAACATGTATAATAGTAAACTCATCTATCTCACAATTCTGCAGATGCACATGTAACCCTCTTAACCCATTTCTTCATGAGCATTTTGTGAAAAATGGCTGTTTTCATTGAAAAGTCTCCCATTACAAGTTCAAATTGCTATAATACTATTAAAACTGCTTCAACACTAATCAAACTTGGCACAAATGTTGACTGGACCATTGCCCGTGCAACAACATGCTCAGGCTTAAATTTTCTGTTACCATGGCAACGAGGGGTCATCTCAAAATTACCAAAAATCACTATTTTGCGTTGATTTTTTCCATCAAAATTGATTTCAAAGTGCTGCAACTTCTCAATGGATTGAGATAGAGTCAAATGCTTTTCAGCGTTGGTTACACGTTACCTTATGATCAATCTGGGGTCATTTATAGCCTCTCACAAGTCCAAAACTTTCTTGGCGATGAGGGGGACTCCCCCCTTCAAACCCCCCAAACAGAAGGGGGCACATCCCCCTTCTGGCAACCCCCTGATGTATCTTTTGGTTGGGGGGCCGCGCCGAAAAAGAGGTCACTTTTTTTAACAACATTTCTCAAACAAAAACAAGTGTTGGGGGCCTAAATAAGGCATTTTTTCACCATTTGAGACAACAAAAAAGGGGGGTGAAAAAGGCATTAAAAGGCGTGTATATAATGTAATGGGTTAAGCTTATTAATGTTTGACAATGTAAATCCATATTGAATAATAAAACTTTAGTAGTTATAACCTGAAACTCGTCCATATTCTAGCCATTAAATGTAAACATGAGTCTCTACCCAAATATCTTTCATCTGGCTAGACAAACAGGGAGTGACCTGTATCAATCTAGCCATGACATAATTTTAACGGAAGATATTGACCAACAAAGACCTCTTCCTCTGTGGTCCAATTCTGATTTGGGCATCCACACAGATACTTTTCTTTCAGAATTTACAATGTATCATAAAACTAAATTTACATCAACACATTTTTTTTTATTTTTATTATTCTTTTCTGTATTTTTTTATTCTGTGATTTTTTTAGGTTATAAATAGCTAACTATATTACATATAACTGACTCCCTTGCGATGAGCCCTGAACATAATTTGTACATGTATTAAAAATAGAAAGTAAGTCATCATTTGGCAACTCAAATACATGGTAAAATATAAGTACAAAGAAGTACCACCGTTTAAACAGTATCATACTTTTTTTAGCAATCGTGTAAACACTAACAAAAAATTGTAAAAGTGGGAGCCTTTATCATTGGACTTTGCACATTTTATTTATATAATGCTTTTGCTCTTGTATTTGTATATATGCAAACTGAGCTGATGTTAATAAACGAAATGAAACAAACTTTTTGTTTGTTTTTGTGTTATTTATCATGTTATGTATATTTGTCTTTAGAGCCGTAATGATTACTGAGATATTCAAGATTCAGATCTTGATACTAATTGGGTATTTGTTAGTTATTAAAAATTGAAGGATCTTGATTCACACCTCTGTTAATGAAAATTCTAATACCTCCTGAATTATTGTATAAAACCTCAAAAAAACTATTGTTCCACTGCTTAATTTTGTCTTATTTACATCTCACATGCATTTACACTGTTCTCAAAAGTTTATTTATTTCCAGCAAAATTTTAAGTTTAAACTGTTATTAAAAGAACTTAATAATGCAGAAGTCAATCTTGATTTTTAATTTTATTCTTTGATTTAAAATGTTTATTCAGCAACATTGTAGTTTCTTTTAGAATTAGAACCAGTGAAAGTATTTATGCATATTTAATAATACCTCCCTGCCTATTTTAGTACTTATTTACATACCAAGGAATGTTCTATGTGTAAAAAGGGATGTAATTCAGTGAGCAAAAACTCATACAGTTATAGGATGTACAGGATAACTTACAATGAAGATATACAAAATTTCAAATGGTTGATATGAAATGATGTTGCATGCTGCAAAACCATAACCAAGAATTACCCCAAATGCAAAGGTAGGGTAGAAGGACCTTACTATTCTGAGTCAAGTCAAGCTAAAATGCATAGTTCTAACAAAATATGAAACAAAAAGTAAAAAAATTCTTACACAATCTCTCACAGTAATGTCAGCGCCTTGTTTCAACATGTATTGGAATATCTCAATGGGCAGGTTTCCATTACATTTATCTAGTGCATACATAAAGGCTGTCCTCCCTCTCTGAAAAACAATATAAAAATATGCATGAAAACAATGGGCAATCTCTACTGATGCAACAACGGACCTATTAACTTTATATTGATTTAAAAGGTGGTGCATATCACAGAAAACGTATATTCGATTCAGCTACACTAATCATGGCCCAATTAAAAAAGATTAAGCTTAGGTAAATATCAAGGATGTGTATAAAGTTTGAAGATTTTTTTGTTTTGTTTTTGTTTTTTGTTGGGTTTTACATCTCACAAGCACAGTAGAAATCATATGGCGGCTTACCAGCTTTACTGGTGGAGGAAGACCTGAGGTGCCCTTCTATGCATTATTTTAAGTATGAGTGGGCACCCCAGTAGAACCACTGACCTTTCCTAAGGTAATTGAATAGCTTCCTGACATGAAAGAGTCCACAGTCCCTGGTTGGATTAGAATCTACAGTGATATGGGGCAAGTGGTTTGTAGTCAACGAAGATCCTGAATGTTGTAATTAAGGTTGTTACCAGTGTGTATTTGCGTTTATTTATACTTGCCACCGGTTGCCCATATGGGTGAGTCCTCCAGAAGAGTATTAGACATTTTAGATTTTGGAGGATAGTGCAATTATTGATACAGAAAGATGCCCCAATTCCAGTAGCTTCTCCTGGTTCTTTAGCGTGCCAAGTGTTTAAGCACCCATACACGGGACCTTGGTTTAAAGTCTCCTCCGAAAGACTGATTAGTGATTTTAGTTAGCCAGCCCAGGAATCAAACCCACAATGTCGAGATTACAAGTCTTACAAGTCTCACGCTCTAACCGATTGAGCTATGCTGACTGGCATAATTTTATTACCACACTTGAGCGAAATTTTATATATGTATATATTTATGCTTATAAAACAATTTTCAAACATCTAAGAATATGTTAAATATGTACTGCAAATATTTGTGCACATTAAATGTAATTATTAAAATATATGCATACATTTCTTATTGAAAAACTTGGCTCAGACTTTATAGAAAATAAATTTCTAATAAACTCCCTTTATTTACATGTAAAATTCAGTAATATCTTTATAAAAAATGCTTTTTAGAACTTATAATATTGATAAATCTTAATTACAGCATCATCTTGATGATATAAAACCATAAAAAAACAAGAAACATGGCAATGCCATGAAACCAGGTTTTCAATTATCACCATTGTAGATAAATATGTTGTATTTGAAATACAAATACAAGCAACAAACAATGTAACTATGTGCAATGTAAAACATGAATAATGTAGGAGGAATTGCCACTGAAGAAGTGTTCACTATAATATTATGTATAAGGAAAAAAACAAAGGGCCATAATTAGGTCAAAAAACTATCCAATCACAAAACCCCGACAATATGTGCCAGGGTGCTTGATGACAAAGCTTCTGTGAAAAGTTTGAACAAAATCCGTTGAGAAATGTAGGACGAGTTCAGCACAGAAGAATTTGTTCACTATAATTATATTGATAATTCTGTATAATGAAAAACAAGTTACAAAGTAGATATGAAATAATATATCATATCTTTTTTAAATTACCTCCAAAGATGATATGACCTTTGACTGCCAAATCAAGTTAAAATCATGTAAACAGGATTTTCAATGTTAATGTCACTGTGACCTTGACCTTGGAGCCAGCCATGCGGAACATGCGTTCTGCACGTCATCTTGATGTGGTAAACATTTGTCTGAAGTTTCATCAAAATTCTTCAAAGGGTTGAAGAGTTACAGAGCGGACAGGATTTTCAATGTTAATGTCACTGTGACCTTGACCTTGGAGCCAGCCATGCGGAACATGCGTTCTGCACGTCATCTTGATGTGGTAAACATTTGTCTGAAGTTTCATCAAAATTCTTCAAAGGGTTGAAGAGTTACAGAGCGGACAGGATTTTCAATGTTAATGTCACTGTGACCTTGACCTTGGAGCCAGCCATGCGGAACATGCGTTCTGCACGTCATCTTGATGTGGTAAACATTTGTCTGAAGTTTCATCAAAATTCTTCAAAGGGTTGAAGAGTTACAGAGCGGACACAATTTCGTTTGACGCCCGCCCGCCTTCAATGTTAATGTCACTGTGACCTTGACCTTGGAGCCAGCCATGCGGAACATGCGTTCTGCACGTCATCTTGATGTGGTAAACATTTGTCTGAAGTTTCATCAAAATTCTTCAAAGGGTTGAAGAGTTACAGAGCGGACAGGATTTTCAATGTTAATGTCACTGTGACCTTGACCTTGGAGCCAGCCATGCGGAACATGCGTTCTGCACGTCATCTTGATCAAAATTCTTCAAAGGGTTGAAGAGTTACAGAGCGGACAGGATTTTCAATGTTAATGTCACTGTGACCTTGACCTTGGAGCCAGCCATGCGGAACGTGCGTTCTGCACGTCATCTTGATGTGGTAAACATTTGTCTGAAGTTTCATCAAAATTCTTCAAAGGGTTGAAGAGTTACAGAGCGGACAGGATTTTCAATGTTAATGTCACTGTGACCTTGACCTTGGAGCCAGCCATGCGGAACATGCGTTCTGCACGTCATCTTGATGTGGTAAACATTTGTCTGAAGTTTCATCAAAATTCTTCAAAGGGTTGAAGAGTTACAGAGCGGACAGGATTTTCAATGTTAATGTCACTGTGACCTTGACCTTGGAGCCAGCCATGCGGAACATGCGTTCTGCACGTCCTCTTGATGTGGTAAACATTTGTCTGAAGTTTCATCAAAATTCTTCAAAGGGTTGAAGAGTTACAGAGCGGACACAATTTCGTTTGACGCCCGCCCGCCTTCAATGTTAATGTCACTGTGACCTTGACCTTGGAGCCAGCCATGCGGAACATGCGTTCTGCACGTCATCTTGATGTGGTAAACATTTGTCTGAAGTTTCATCAAAATTCTTCAAAGGGTTGAAGAGTTACAGAGCGGACAGGATTTTCAATGTTAATGTCACTGTGACCTTGACCTTGGAGCCAGCCATGCGGAACATGCGTTCTGCACGTCATCTTGATGTGGTAAACATTTGTCTGAAGTTTCATCAAAATTCTTCAAAGGGTTGAAGAGTTACAGAGCGGACACAATTTCGTTTGACGCCCGCCCATCCGCCCATCCGCCCAGCCGCCCATCCGCCCATCCGCCCATCCGCCCATCCGCCCGCCATACCCCAATCTAATAACCAGGATTTTCAAAATTGAAAACCTGGTTAATAAAATTGTGTTACAGGATCTGTCATGGGTTCCCTGTTAAATATTTAAAGAAAATACCTTCAGTGGTTATTGATTAAAAAAACAAACTTGTAACTTAGGGACCACCAGCAACAAGTAAGTAAAATAATCTCACTTTTTATCAATTAGCCAAGTTAAAAATACATTATCAGATGAAGTAATGTATGTGTTGTAAAGTAAATGGCATTAAATCAGAACACTAAACAATCAAACATAAATATTAAAGTCATCACACAAGTGAATAATTTAACGGTAATCTAAAAGGCACTAAATCAATTAAAGATCCTGTAACACATTTTTTATGGTTTATATCATAAATATGGTGCTCAAATTAAGATTTATCAATATTGTAAGTTCCAAAATCATTATTTATAAAGATATTACCGAATTTAACATTTCATGTAAATAAAGGGAGGTAATAGGGAATTTATATTCTATAAGAAATGAATGCATTAAATGTGTACAAATATTTGCAGTACATATTTTACATATTCTTCGGTGTTTGAAAATTGTTGTATAAGCATAATTATAAACATATATATAATTTCACTCCGTGGCCTACTGGTTAAGGTCCCTGACTTGAAATCACAGGTCCTTCACCGCTGTAGATTCGATCCTCATTCAGGTCGAAATCTTTCATGTGAGGAAGCCATCCAGCTGGCTTACGGAAGGTCGGTGGTTCTACCCAGGTGCCCGCTCCTGCCTGAAATACCCGGAGGGGCACCTGGGGTCTTCCTCCACCAATAAAGCAGGAAATAAATTGACAAAAAAATCTCGGCGGGAGACGCTCTAGGATGGCCCGTCTTAAGTGTATGGTCACCCATATGGGCTTTCCAGCGGCAACCTTAAATAAACGCAATAAAAAAATATGGTATACAACCTCAATTACAACATTCAGGATCTTTAACCAATAAACTAACTTGCATAATATAACAATTATCTTTAAGGGATTAGATTATTTTTAACTTTACCTCATCTTTCAATGTGAAGTCAGCTCCTGATTTCAGTATATACCAAGTAATTTCTATAGGCACGTCCTTGTGAAATGCTTCAAAAAATAATGGTCCCTAGAAAAAAAGAAAAATGAATGCAATAATGTACTCATAATGAAATAATCACTTTTTCCGTACTGGTTTAAGGTAGCTTCCTAGACTTTTCTGGTGGAGACAGACCCAAGTGGACATTTCAGTAGAAACAACTTCCTTCTTAAAGTTCAGCATACAGCAATGGTTTTGTTTTTTATCAAGGGAATCCAGAGTGTTTTGGCCTGTAAAATACCACATGAGTGGTACACATATATAGAGGCAAACATGCAACTGTATTTGAAACCTTAAACAATATTTACTTCTGGTATTAATACATAGAACACTTTGTGAAAGTTTCTTCAGTCCACTACCAAATATGTCCCTTAATTCCAAGGGAAGACCAATAATCAATAAGTGTTAACTTTTCAATCTGCTGCAAATGAACAATAGCTTTGCTCAATATTAAATTCAAAACAGTCTATTTAATGTTTAAGGGATTTAACAATGATTCACAAACATTGAGCTTCCATCAGTATAGAACCTGGTCAGACTGCACGGATGTGCTGGCTCACCTGTCTGTATCATGGCAGCAAAGGGTAATCACTTTTGGTACAGCAGGTAATGAGTACTTTTAGTAGTAAGGATTGGAAACAGTACAAGCCGGTGCTTCTGAGGCATGAGAGATCATGCACATTACATTATCCCCCATGTACAAACTAATTAAACGTAGTCCTTAATTGTCACATATTCTCTTTTTTTTTATTGGTCTAAAGGGATCTCCCCTATTCCAATTTTTTTTACTCACAAAATTTTTAGGTCAGCTGAAACAGGAATATGTTATATTCAATTTCACAATAACTGCTGTACTCACCATGAAATAGTTATTGACTCGTATCTTGGTATTTACATCGGCACCTGCATCACATAACATCTGTACAAACTGCAAGTCCTTGAACTTGATACAATATTGTAGTATATGCTTCTTAACAGAAATCTGAAAGAAAATGTATTGATAGTTGTGTTTCACAATAGATTTCTGAAATTTAAAGTCCTTCTCCAGAGATATTTGGAATAAAATATACTTCTCAATAGGTATTTGAAATGAAATAAACAAATGCTATGTTGGAATGAATGCCATAACCTCAGTGGTGATCTTAACCTTTGACCCCATGATCTCTATGGAGAACACATCAAGGTGCATTGATGGAAATTTTTGAAGGCTGTGGATGGAAGATCTTTTGTTTTATAGCCATCAGGTAATATTTGATATTTGGATGTCATAGTGACCTTGACTTTTGAAGGCTGGCCTCGCTCCATATTGGTCCAGGATACCAAAATGGTGAACTGTCATATGCAATCTGTGACTAACATTATGTTTGCACTTACCTCATTCAGGAAGTTTACCCTACATCTTGTTTTCTTCAACGCCTCTTTCACTTTGTTATGGTTTCCTTCAAACACCCCATATATCATATCCTGCAATGGAAAAAATGAGCCCCGTCACGACAAAACCAACATAATGGGTTTGCGACCAGCATGGATCCAGACCAGCCTGTGCATCTGTGCAGTCTGATCAGGATCCATGCTGTTCGCTTACATACTCTATAACAAGTAGAGAAACTGATAGCGAACTGCATGGATCCTGATCAGACTGCGCGGATGCGCAGGCTGGTTGGATCCATGCTGGTCGCAAACCCATTATGTTGGTTTTGTCATGACACGGCTCAAATATCTATATATTTTAATGGGCGTGAAACAATAACTGCCAAAAAAAAGACTATAAATGAATTTCAAAACTATAATCATCAAATTGTTTTCCTATTCCTACAGTGACAAATCTGGAGATAGTTTTACCCAAAAATATTCACCGTTGTTTATCCGACATGTATAATGATATATAAGCAAATGAAATGTTCAACTTTCCTAACAATATGTTCAACTGATACTCAGGTAGGTTTAGGAAAAATTGCATTCATGTACCACCTGCATTATGATATACTGTAGTTGTAAACATTATTCTTCTTATTTTGTTACTGTACAATACTACGTTAAAATGTTTTGTATCATGATACATAAAAACCATTGGTTTTTCTTTTTGTTACAATTTTTATCATAATACAGACAGCTTGATATAATTTGTAATTTACACTCTTCAATGAACTGGAGCATGTATAACAAACTTTTGCCAATATGATAACATCATTAAATTGGCAATACTTACAGTCGTCGCTTTCTGTTCATCAATAATCACTACTATATCGTGAAACTTCAAACACGCGGCATACTGTCTAAGCGTCTGTTTTTTCTATAAAGAAAAATGTCATTTTTCAAACATATATACATAACTGTCATAAAATTCTGTTATCATACACATAATATTTAATCCTGTGTAAAATCAAAAGACACCTTTTACCAAAGAACTACTGGTAACAGAAATGCTGGCATTAAAGAATATTTTTTTTTGTTATATTAGAAACACATTGATTTCAATTTTTTATATAGTGTTTGATATCATAGGACAATGTAGGATTAATTCTCCTATATCCTATCCTGTTTATGTATTACATGTATAATATACCATTTTCTTGGTGGGAAAATTGCTTATGTCCATTCCATCCATTATTTTTGATGGGCAGACAGACAGACACTAAGGCAATGAATATAACTTAAATTACAGTGTAGAAATGGAATCACTGTATCATTTATTGCAAGTTTATACAATTCGACTTGTACATTTTTTTGCAAGTAAAGGAAATAACTGAATCTACCCACTATTTATTAACCTTCCTTAGTAACAACATTATACATGTACAACTTTACTTTTTATACAATATTATAAATCAACAAGAACTGTCAATAAGACAGTTCACTTGACTATTCTCAGTGCCTGATAGTAAAACAATAGCCTGGATAATGAAGAATTTTCTAAGTTCAAAGGACCATAATTGTTTCAAAATTCATATAAGAGTTATGGGCCTTGAAACTTGACTTTCAGTAACCATTCCCTCCAACAGTTTTCGAGGCACCAACTTGCCCGCAAAAACTTAACCAGAGTGTTACATCCACACTCGCTGACCTCCTAAGGTGAGTACAATAAATCTTCCTAATTTTCAAACATTCAAGCTAAAAATAAATTGCACCTTTAATAGGGAGCTAATTTGGATTAATACTGTACTCACATATTTACAATCCACTCTGATCCAGCATCTAAGAAGCTGATGAATTTTTGGTATATCATGTTCTTTTACAGCATGGAATATGCCCGGCTGCAATAAAAAACCAACCCATGATTTGATCAATGCAGAAAAAAAAATTAAAATCTAATCAAGCTAATTAACTGAACTAAGCAGTGATTGTTTAACTTTGTTGCAACAACAAAAAACAAACAAACAAACAAAATAAAAAAAGTATTAAATAAGAAAATTTTAGTATGGTAATCAAAAATTAGTTTATTACAAACCTTAAATTGATGATTATCATAATAAATGCAGACTCAGAACTGCAATTTTATGGCATCAAACAATTAAAAAAAAAATGTTATTTTGTATTTCTTAAATTTCTGTATGATTTTCACAGGGTAAATCAAATCTTTGAAACCAAATGATGAATATCAATAAAGTAAAAACCTGATGCAAAACAATGGTTTAAATTGACAACTTCACAATGAACATAGACATTTAGATTTTAACTAATGTTAAACTATATTGTTAATAAACCTGTATTAATAATAATATTAACACTGTAAATGCTGGAACCAAATGTTTACAGCACTTTACACCAAGACTATACGAGGAAATATTAGGTAAAGTTTAAAATCTAAGTAATGCCAAACCCATCTGACAGAGAATAAATTAACAAAGAACAGAAAATATGACATGAGGTCATCTGTTTTCAATTTGATATGTAAGCCATTATGTATTTCTTTATTCAACACATATCTAATAGCCTGGCCTTTTGCTTTTTTTTTGGCCATTTTATAGCCAATGCTTACTCACAGTATAACTGGTTAAGTTAATGACATGGAAATATTAGCGAATATCGCAAATTTACGAAAATCACTAAAATTTCTTTTAGCATAAATATAAAACAACCTGTCAATAAATTCTACCCTTGCACGGTTCGCTAATATTTCTCATGTGAAATGTCTGGACTTTTAAATTCGCTAACTTTTCGAGACTCAGAAATATCCACTGATACAGTATACAATACAATACATGAATCATACATCAGTTATTAATTTCATATTGACCTTTTAACCTTTATAACAGGAGTGTAGGACAATTAAAAGCCCTCCCTTGTGTCCACGCTGTCATTGTTGGAGGGGGCGGCTTTTATGTCTGGGAGGGCTTTTGCCTTATAATTTCCCTTATTACACTTATCTCTGAATAACATACATGTCTCTTTAAAACATATACTGAAACTTGTACCATACAAAACATTTTAAAAGATTCTTTAATATATCAATTAACAATAAACTACTATTTAAACACAGTTAACTGGAATGAATTTTTTTTTTGTTAACCATTCAATTGTTAACACACCACCATTTTGTTAATAGGCATTTTACTTTGAAAAAAAAAGTTTATCAATTATGATTTCATTAATGCTTTGTTAGCTTAACTAAATTGACTTAATGCCTTAATGTTAAACATGAGTTCTTGCAACATGAATCAATCACATTGCATATATTTAAAAACCTCCTTCTGGAAGTAATAATGGAATTACATCAATAAAGGAAACACATAATTAAGACATAAAGCCCATGACACCTGTTTTGTGAGGAAAACATGTTAACCATTAGAAAACATTACTGCTTAGTAATGGATACTTAAATGGCATTAGAATTAATAGGTTACAGTAAATTTTCTTTAATGATATTTATTCGTGGCTTGAAAATTTTCTTATGAGGATCAAAGTAAATTACGGTACCCATTAATTTCTAAGGACACAGAAGGAGACCTTGCTTAAGTCCGACTGTAAACTTACCTACCATAATGGGGGTGGCAAGGGGGACAACTATAAGGCCACTACTTTGTTAAGCATGTTCTTTTATAGAAATAATCATGTTGTTATTTTCCAAAAGCTTTTAGTCTTCTACGGAAGACAGTTAAATCAGATATTTAGAATATAGATTAAAACAGATTGCTTGAACAAAAATCTAGTTTTAGTTATAAAAATGAATATTATAAAGGTAGATTAAATAAAGGGAGGTAATTCAAAAATTTGATACACCTTCCTTTCAAGTTAATTCAACAATTTTACTGTAAAAAACACAAAAAAACAACAACAACAAAATATATTCTACCATGTATATACATGTACATGTTAGAAACATGAATGATAAATCATCTACATTAAATACATAATTGAAACCAAATATATAGCAGCATCAAATCAAACATTTTAAAAAAAATGGCCAAATTTGTTAACCTTTCACATTTTATAACAGTGAATACTTTTTTGGGCCACAAATCATTTAATTACCAGCCTGATACATAGCTACTGATACATTGAGAGACAAAGATCAAAAGTTTTTGTTAGACTGTTACATACCATCTGCAGGGCTGTTTCACTCTATCAACAGGAGCAGATATAAGACCCCACCAAAACTCAAAAACAGCCACTTTTTTCCCCTAATTTAAAAACAAAGTTTCCAACCACAGCCCACAAGCTCAAAATGTTTTCTAAGAAAAATTGAACTCTTTTTTTACTTGGTTCTTGAAAGAAGTGACAGGTTATGTATGATCATACAAATGTTAAAAACCATTAAACTGATTAAAAGGCATTTAAATAAAGTTGTTTTTAGGTTTTTAGAATATTCTCAAAATTCTCAAAATGCTGAATAATTTTTCCTAATACATGTATATGCTATAGGCCTTTTCCCAAAATAGCTGGAAAAGGCCCTTCCCTGTTAACAAAAAAACTGCCTTAATATGAAAGGCTCAAAATCTTCTAAAAATTAAAAACTCCTGTTAGCAAGAGGCAAAATAATTAATGATACAGCAACTATTTTTTATTATCATGAATAAGCAACAAGTAATCAATGCCAAAACACAAAAAGATAAGGCTTCAATTTAACATTACACTTTGCATTAATGCTTTAAAAGCTCACACAAATTGTTTCAACCCATACAACACAAGTCCACTTACACCTTCATTGTAGCCTGCCCCGAATAACCTCTACTCACATAACAATAAAAATAAAACAATGTGAAGTAATTGCTAAATTATATCAAAAACATGTCCTTTAATGCTTATATCAAAACATACTCTTTAACACTTAAACTGATATCTGAATAAAATCAACATTCTTCAATGAGCTCCTTGCAAAAATTCTTTAAATCTTGAAATATACAGAGAATATTATAAATGAACATTAAAAAGTAAGTGGCAGTAGATATAAGTTTTAAGTGACCTTTACCACTCAGTTGTAGAGGGTTACTTATAGATATTAAACTTTTGATGTCAGAAATCCTTTTCTACTAAGAAAAAATATAGCATCAAACACATAAGCATTGTATCAAACAGTTGTCACAGAACTGTTTGCTTTGGAAGAGCCGGTCTGTGATCTGGTCCTGGACTAGAAATTAATGAGTCATATGTACGATCCTCGCTTATCAATAAAACTAACCAATCGTTTAGATGAGACCTTTAAAAACCACCGTCCTGTGTATTGATGCTTTATATAGGGCACATAACATAAATACCTTTAGTGTTTGTGACAATATATTTAAAACTTATACTAAAACATTTATTCAAGAATTTCCAAAACATAGTATAATTCTGTAGAAGACCCCCCCCCCCCCTTCCACCCAATGTTAAAGGTCTATAGCTAGGAGAGAGACAAAATATTACCCTCTCAAATACACAGGTAAAGTTATTTCAAGTACAGTACATTAAAGTGAGTTCAAAGTTAATGAAATAGTTACCCAAACCTATTGCATAGTGTTGCAATAATGCTGATCCAAGAGGGGGTAGTATAAGTCCCCTTAATTTTTCCAATAGTTGACCTTAAGAGACTTTGGGAAACAAACAACTGTTAATATTGTTGGTATTGTTTTATTCATTTTAGTAATAATTAAAACTTAACTACATTATTGTAAATAAATAAAAAAAACATGTTAACACAACCACCACTTACTGTAAATATAAAATGAAAATAATAAATATATTTGAGACTGTACTATAATCTATAACCATGGAAACTTACCCATTTATACTACAAAATACACAAATAAGATCAACAGAAGACTAGAAATGTGTCCATAAAACATGGGTGCCCCACATTCCACTATTTTCTCAGTCTGGAGAAGGCCTGTGGAACAACAGGACACTTGGAAGTATTCGAAATTCAAAGCCAGTAAAAGTCCATCATTCATTACAAAAATTTAGTCTGTTGAGGGTTTAACAAACCCTTTATTATTGCCTAAATTATATTTCAGTCCCAACTTCATATACAACCTATTCATTATCTAATTTATGTTAAGGAGAGCCTCTGAGGGGTTCAAAAAGTTAAATCTAATGTTAACACATGATGATTTCAATGGCCTTCCTAACTTTTTTTTAATGAATATCACACCTTTCTTTCTGTACATTTGACACAGTTTATTTTGAAAAACCAGGGTGAAATAGACATGAAACTTGAATTTTCAATAAATATCACATGGGAATTTTTTGAAAAAACAGGGTAAAATAGACATAGACCCTGAATTTTCAATAAATATCACATGAGAATTCAAGTTGTTTCTATCCTGGCATATTAGAGACAAATAACCATCAGACTCAATTAATGTCCAAGAACTAAAAGAACAAAACATTTTGCCTCACTGGGTTTTCCGAAAACCTGGTTAAAAAATTCATACATTTAACTGTGTTAATGAAGCATAGAAATATAATTATTTTTTAATAAAGAAAACATTATATCAGCAGAAAAAAAGCAAAGAATGTCTGACATAATATCTCAGAAAAAAAAGCTCTGAATATATCGCAATTCTGACAATGGTTGGAAGGATTGCCAAGTTAATTAATAAAAAATAAGAAAAATTCATTTCTGTCTCAAAACATAAGGTAAAATATTTGTCACATAATCATTGTTATGTTCATAACAATGTCACATTTCAGCTTCACAGGTATAAGTAAACAATTATTATTTAAATATTATTTCAGGCACAAACAGGCACTTAGGTAGACCCACTGACCTTTCTGATTAACAAGAAAGATAGCTTTCAACATATGTGAATATTGTGCAACTTGAGGTGCACCTCTATGACTTATTAATTAAAGACACACTACCAGGTGTATTTCAGGTGAACTTAAACTAGAGGATGCCTTGACACAGAAGATCACTTTAATTAGGTGATCCTCCATGTTCAGACAGCCTCTACAATTAATTTCAGGCAAGAACAGGCATTTCAGGTGTGCCTCCAGAATAATTTCAAGTAATGACAGAATTTTCAGGTGAACATCTATGAACTAGTTCAGGAAAACTGGCAGGAACCTTAAGTAGGATCGCAAACCTTTGTGTAAGCTAGCTGGATAACTTTATCACATATCCACATACCTTATATTTCTCAAAGATCATGTGCCAGTACCTATTTTGTGTACTCAATTGCTCAGCTGTTTTTCCATCCTGTTAAAAAATAGAATAAAAAGTTAGGTTTGTTTTTCTGGTTTTTACACCATTTTAACACATTTTTTTGTCATATCTTTGTGGTTGATCTACTAAACAGGCATTCCTGGATAACTAACCAGTAATTACCAATTACCAAGTACTCCACAAGTGACCAATTACTGATCCCACATGATTTATCAATCAGTGTTGAGAGACAATTGAACATTAGACTCAATGTCTAAGACCAATTGTCATGGAAAGTTTAAGCCAAACCTGGGTATCAAACAACTGACCCCCTAGATTTATTATCTGATGCTCTCCCTATTAAAGTAATTGGGCAGACTAAATAAAAAGTATGAAAAGCTAGGCTTGTACAATGTTATTAATCTAAAACAACAAATATTAGAAATGAATAAATAAGATGTCTGTGCCTACAAATCAAAAACAGCTATGTTCAGAGATATTTTGTTCTGGGTCAGAATCTCACTTCTAGAGGGGAGATAATTGCCCATACACAAAATAACACGAAATCTCAAAGCATAGTAGAATTAGTTGGACTATCTTGCAGTATAATTCTCATCAAAACTATGGGTGTTAAGATATACAGTTGGACTGTTAACCATAACTGTTTGAACACAATTTGATTCACAGAATGGTAAGTAATCAGTATAAAGGTGTTCAGCACTTTCCTAATAAATCAAGGGGAGTAAAGGTTGAAAAACAACATGTCTTTAAGTTATCTTTAAACACTTTTACATCCTTACTTTGAAGAGTGACTTTCCTGACTTAAGTGTTTATTTATCAGCAATTATTTACAGCTTTATTGCTATGGAAACTGGATTGTTAGAATAGTTACTACAGTATTTTAATGATTTACTATTTCTGATGCATACTGAAATATCACACAAATCACAAATTAAAATTATATCCTTCATATTTAACAAAACTATTGGATCCTAGAACAGAACCATCCCCTTTTCACATCACAAAAGCTTCATTTCAAAAATCGTTTTTCACAAATGACTTTACAAAGGGTTATACCTAAATCAACATGTGCATAAAAACCAACAAAAGCTTCATTTCTATTATGGATTTTTCAAATGACTTTACAAAGGGTTATACCTAAATCAATATGTGCATAAAACCCATCGATTTGGTCACATATTCAAACAAAAATATCAAATTTTACATCATATATGTAGACAGGTTCCTGATGATAATGCAAAACTGTTGTAACTCCTTCTTTATTTCATATAAGTTAATGCAGTTTTGCAGTCAACCCTCGATATACATGTATAATAAAAGTAATCTGTTGTATGAACTTACTTTATTCTGGATGGCTGGATCAATGCCGCAGGTCATTAGGTCGGCCACATGACAAGCTTCATGCTGTAATGCTGTTACATGTAATGCGGTATTTCCATGCTGTAAATAATGTAAAACATGCAACATAAATTTTGAAGTGGGTAATCATTAAAACTCAGAGAGTAGCGCATGTCGTGATGGAGTGGTTAACACTTGGACTAGTACCTAAGGATTTCTGGCCACATGGATTCAAACCCTGTCAGGGGCAAGCTGTTGTTTAGGTGAGCAAGAAACTTTACACTCATTGCTTAGTACCAGTTGGTTCCAGGAATGGATTCCAGAGTGTTTCAATAAGTTTATAGCTTCTAATACAATCAAACTAAAATAAAAATGTTTAAACTAAACCTCAGTTTGGGAAATAACAGAATTAAAGGATTATGTTTTTTTTGTTATTGTTTTTGATTTTTCCAACAAGTACATTTTAAATAACAAACCTTGGTCATTGAAAGTTTTTGGTTAAGTGGTTATTGTGCTATAGACCTTACATTACAAAAGGACCTTTACATCAGTTCTGTATGGTTTGTAAATCACATGTCCCCAGCATTGAAAATTATGACCTCAGTATGTATCATAAAGCAACATAGGAGTATGAGTGTTTTTTTCCTGTGACATGTTAGATGGTATGTACCGTATTTTTTCTGAAATAGGCCACAGCCTATATGTTAAAAAAGCAAAATTCTCAAGGGTGCAGCGTATAAGATGAAGCAGTCTACAACTATTTATTTTATGATATTGCGCAATAAAAATGTAAAAAAAAAATGAGAGCACTTATTAATACATAAAAACAGCTCACCAAAATTTAGCAAATTGTTTTCATGATCAATTTAATGAAACAAAGGATAAGTATACTCTTCCTGAAGGTGTTACTCTCTATATTAATTTATCTGAAAATATTTTACATAATCCTGGCTTGTCAGCCATGGCCTATGTGCCGGAGCAACCTATATGATCATTTTGATTTCAGAATTGGTAAATTTGGAAGGGTGCGACCTATACAATGCAGTGACCTATTGTTCCAGAAAATGCAGTACATTACCTAAATTACAAACAACTTACTCTATTTTGGGCACTGATATCTATGCCATGAGCCACAAGAGTGTAGAATATAATTGGCCTGTACATGGTACATACATAGTGCAGAAATGTGTTCTGTTTCTGAAAACGAGAAACATAAAAATCTACAATCTGTCAACATGATATTATTAATTATGAATAAATTATTAATTCTTTTTTTTTCTTCTACTGAAGATAATGACTTGTTAAAGGAATATAGCCAGAAAACCTTGCAGGTGTGCAGTGTTTTCATTTTCATTCTTCATTAAACAAGTCCTGTTGGACCTATTATTTATTACCATTGCTTAACCTATTGAAAATACATGCATCACTTGAATATTTTGTAAGGGAATGTTTTATTCTATTTTCTTACATGTACATTATTCATGTGACTCAGTTTTTTAAAATTCTTATAGGATTATTCATCCATTTAGTGCTTAACACCATTTAGATTTGAATCCACTGAGCCCACTACACAGTGAATATATCATATAATAGAGGTAAATTTTAAAGTCATACTCTGTCTTTAAAAAGAATATTTTCTCCAGCTTTCACAAGTCTGTTTAGCTCGTCCACATCTCCTGCTTGTATTGCTTGACCAATAGGGGTCTAAAATAAACAAAAAGAAAGTGATAACTTCAACTTGTTAAGAGAGTAATAAGATTTAATTCACATTTAAAATAACCTGTGCATAATTTAACAACCATCATTGTAATGATATATTTCAGCATTGGTGTCAGTATGCTGCATGATTTCAAGCAAGAAATATATTTTGGTCTTGCACAGAACCGCCAACAAGCTACATGTATAGCCATAATGTTTTCTTATAACAGCAAAATCAAAGGATTTGAACAGAGAGTCAAAAAGATGAAAGTAAAGTTGTTACATATACAAACTTGTATGCCCCTAACATATTATTTTTGCTGTGAACATAAGATTGGCAGTGATCTAGTAGTTGCCTCTCAATGGTTGTGAGTTTGAGCCTTTCTTGGGTCAGGTGCCATATTTTCCAATAATGTTGTAACTATTGGTTGTTTATTCAAGTGATTCAAATATGCTACAAGCTTAATATATTTTGCTTGCCTTAAATCAAATCACACCAACAATGTTTAACGTTATATGGCAACATTCCAGCTTTCCCTATAATAGGCTAAGGTGTAAGACCACTTCCATGTATTAATTCAGTCACAAGATATCATCAGAGTACAACCATCAACTTTTTACATAATTATAAACCAGCTTGGCAGTTTCATTACATGTAAGAATCCACAGTCCCAAGAAGGATTTGAACCCAAAACAAGACTGTTAGCAATCAACCGTCAATGAATTTAAGATTTTGAATTTACTGGCCCCAATTCCAGTCTTGAATTTATTATACTATATATTTAACTAAATTTTCTTAAAATTTACACTGACTCAAACTAATTTACACTGGCCATGGGCCACAAGGCTAGTGCTAAATTCAATGACTGAATCAAGCTTGTATAAAACTATTTAATACACTGTTTAAACCAAAAAAAGCTAACATATAAGGACGTGAAATAAGATAAACATACCGCAGCCAAATCCCACATTTGTCCCGCCATGTTTCCCTCCTATGGTATCAGCTTTGATTATATATGGCAAAAACTTCACATTCTGAAAAATACCATGTTTTGATAAATGTAAGATCGAAATTTCCCATTCAAAAAAAGTATTTTATCCTCTGTTATTTTTGGCAATTTTACAAAGACTGATTGTTATACCTCCCTTGTAGAAGCATTATAAGTGACAAGTCTAGAATAGTCCAACTAATTGTATTATGTGATGAGAAATTGTGCTCATAGAAACTCGAGAACTGGACCGAATATTGCGCCGCATATTTTCGATTGTGTGACGGCTTTTAAAAACGTTTCTGCTACATCTAAATATCTTTTAGTATTATCCGAGTATATGGCCTCAAACAATATATTATCAATTGAACCCAATCTGTCTCTTTTAAAACTAGTCAAATTTTACGGTATTATAAAAAAAGACAAGGAGTGACATCCGCCATTCGCCGCAACGTTTTCGGCATGAGTTTTTCCCCTTTGGCTACAACTGATTACTATTTTTTCAGAATTTTGGTCCCGTTATTTTTGTCAACTATCAGGTATCGTCCGGATATAACGTTCACGGTTTATTGTTTACACGTGTTGACATGTATAGGCGGCATTATGAAAAGATATTCAAAGGTGGGACAAACAATATGTAAAGCCAGATTTATGGGCCACAATATGCATTCCTGTTCCAGAGTTCCTATGATTGTGCTCAGTATGCCTTATTCTCATCGATTCGTGCCTTCTCATCGATTCGTGACCTAAATAATTGTCTGGTATAAATATTTCTGCAAGGACATACACCATCCGAAAACTACACAAGTTTTATTAGACACTCGATTTGACAATTCTATCCAATCAAAATGCGTAATTGAACAGGTGTAAATGAGCTTACCCTACAATCAGCTGATGACCTAATTACTTTAAAATATTCGATATTGATGTTTTAATTAATCAAACACACTTACAATTAAGCAAAAAAAATATTCATTATGCTGTAAGAATTAACTTAAGACTTTGAAACATAAATTGATCAGATCGGACTGAAAATAACCATGCGAACATTAAGTGGTGTGAGCACCTATATTTTGATGACGTCACAGGGTGAATCGGATTTCATGAATCGATGGGTAAGCGTCTAGCTGAGCAAGACAGTCATGGTTGACATGTTTAGATGCTCTAATCTTAGCTGAAGAAACTTCAGCGATCAGGTTTTATAGTACTGCTAGACCTGTTTGCTGAAGCCAATCCCGTATTGAAAGTCAACCAGAACCGTGACATATTTATATCATGCTGTAATTCAATAAATTTTCGTGATCTAGACAAAAACTATTTTAATACAGGTAGTTAGATATATTTTAGACCCTTCAGTCTATATTTTTGAACACAGAATGTTAGATTGATGAAATAATGCCTCAAAGTTTATCAGTGGGTTCACATTTCATAAAATTCGCCGCCATTGCTGCCCTTATTATCACATGACTAGCGAGAATTTAGGTTCGGATACCTTTGCATGACATTTGGTGACCCGTGACCCAAAATGCTATTTTTAATTAAAAACATGGCTTTGCAATTATGAATAACGGTGTATTTTTTCAATAACAGACATTACATACCAAAAACATGTTGTATTTATATTTTTTGAGTGATATTCATGACTTATTTGTTTGATTTTATTTAAAATTATACACTTATTAAAAATAGTGTATGGTCCATTACTAAAAATAGATGCTAGAATTCCCAAAACTTGAAGTCCCGCGAGATTTCATTTGAAAGCCGACTCAATATTGGTATACATTCTCTTCATATTTCCCTATTAAATAGTTGGGTACACAATGTCATTGAAGTTTCATTTAAAAACAAAACATGAATTGATTCAAAATTGATTTGTTTATCAAATGGTATTTTTATTTGAGCCAAAGTTGATTAATAAGGGTGATTTGAATAGGTTTTTATGTACTGCACACAAACTGCGAAAATTCTGGTAGCCTTTGCAAATAGGGTTGACCCATAACTTTACTGTCGCACAACATCAAAATAAAAGCGACATATAAAGTTATGGAAGCCAGAACTACTCTAATCTTTGAGGGGTTGTTTTTAAAAGTAATTTAAAGTTTTTGAACTTTTAGATAATGAATTTATTTAACAAATGCACTAATTGAACTGTATGAATGTCTGATATTTGTTGTGCAAGTGCAATTTTTCCAAATAAGAGTCACGAATCTACTAGGAGTAGATATTGACTATCAATTAAATTTTGATGCCCAGGTATCAGCCATTTGCCAAAAAGCCGCAAAACAGTTAAATGTCCTGCAAAGATTAAGTAAATTCCTCTCTGTACCTACCAGGCTTATCATATTCAAATCTTTTATCAGGTCCAATTTCAATTACTGTCCCATAGTGTGGCATTTCTGTAGTAAAGCCAACACAGACAAACTTGAAAAACTCCAGTACAGGGCCTTACGCATTGTTTTCAATGATTTTACATCATCATATGAAAGTCTCCTTAATAAGGTTAAATTACCCACACTCCATCTAAGCAGGTTAAAAACAATTGCAATCGAGACTTTCAAGTGCTTACACAATATATCACCTAAATATATTCAAAACTTAGCCAAATTTAAGACCTCTGTTTACAATTGCAGGTATGATCATATTCTAGAAGTGCCTACAGTTAGAACCACCAGGTATGGACAGAACTCCTTTCGTTTTGAGGCTGCCCGGGTGTGGAACAGCCACCCCAGTGACATCAGAAGAGTAGAAAACTTCAAAGAATTTGGGAGGCTGGTTGGCACCTGGACAGGCCCAAAATGTAAGTGTTCAATGTGCCGCTTGTAGCCTTTTGTTAAACACATGTGTGTTTAACATGTGCTTGTATGTGATTAACATGTTTTTATATGTGCTTTTATGTATAGTCTTTAGATGTTGCAAATATTATACCAATAAATGTTTAATGTTACTTTTTATTTACATTATGTGATAGTCCTTGTAATTTCTTTGTTTTGTTTTATGTTTGTTTTTTTATTTACTTATGTATGTCTTTTTCTTTATATATATATATATATATATATATCTATTATATTTCTTTTACAGGTATGTACATAGGTGTATATGTATATCTTATTTTTGTTCTCTTTTTCTTGTAACTTTTGTAGTTTTTAGCTTATCTTAAATTTTTATTTTCTTAATTTCATATTCTTAGATGTGCTTATGCTTATTTTTATACATGTCTGTCTTTAACTAATATATAACTCTTTTACAGGAATGTACATTATTTATATATATCTGTTATTTGTTTTATCTTGCTTGTAATTATTGTAACTTTTAAGCATGCATGGTGCTAAAATAACTTAAATCCATGTATTTAAATGTGCTTATGCTTATAATTTTTAGTTGCTTTAAGATCTTACTCCCATGTACTTAATTGTGCTTATGCTTATATTTTCTTTTTAGCTGCTTTACTTTTTTTGGTTCATATACTATTGTTTGTCGGAAAATAGCTCATGAGCTAATGTTTTCTGTTTATATGTATCCGACGTAAAATAAATTATCTTGTATCTTGTATCTTGAATCGACGAGAGAAAAGGAATGACAGACTATTCTCTCCCTTACCAGTTCCTCTCCTGACGGTTCTCTCCCTAACCGTTTCCTCCCCTGACGGTTCTCTCCCAAATTTGAAATATGCAGACAGTTCTCCCCCAATTTTATTTTTATAAGTTATCATTTTAGTTTTGACTTAATCTAATAATATTTCTTGATGAAAATTATTAAAAGAATGTGTTTGATATTAACTGCATTTTATGGTTTATGTTTATCAGCTGAAAAGTAAATTTAACACCTTTTTTCAGTATTTTAATCCTATCAACACCTGTAAATTTAACACCTTTTTTCAGTATTTTAATCCTATCAACACCTTTATTGTGAGAGATATAGGTCATTGGACAGTGATTGATATACAACTGTAATTATGTTAAGGTCTAGCTTGTGATGTTCATTTATTTGTTAAATAGTGAATAAAATGGAAACAAATATGTTCTAGAAAATAAATATAAACAACAACTGGTATGCAAACACATTCCACATTTACTTTTTTACGAAATTGATTTAAAACATGTAGTCATTAACTTGAAACAATATATAATACAAAATAACTAATATAATACTTATTCATCAACACCTTTTCACAGCTATTCTAATCTAATCAACACCAAGGAATTAATAAACACCTCAATTATCACTGGCAGCAAACTTAATGCATACATGTGTGTATTGAACTTTTTTCATTATACAAAAGTTTAGCGATTAGAATTTATTAATCATTTTTTGCCTATAAATTTCATTTTTATTTACTAAAAAAAAATAATAATAATAATATATTATGATTATCCTAATCAAGTAAATTATTCATTAATTATTTTCAATGACTAAACACATTAAAAAGTATATGTTACATCTAATTAAAAAATCAGAATAATTAACTAATATCATCATTGATCAATTATTATTTTTTGTTAAATAAAAATGTTTTTCTAATTAAATTTATATCAATTGATAATAAATTTATTAAACATCTAAATATTCAATAAAATATTTTTTTCTCTAATTTATATTAATATTTGATAATAAACTTACCGATTTATTGTTGCTGATGATGCTAACAAAATTGAAACTTGAATTAAACATCAGAATACTTCAGTAAAGTATTTTTCTCTCTCATTTATTACAATTTATAATGAACCTACCCATTTATTTAACATCTAAACACTTCAATAATTTTTTTTTTCTAATTTATATCAATTCATAATAAACTTACCCATTTATTTAGCATCTAAATACTTTAATAATAATGTAATTATAAAAATAACAATGGGGAGGAACTGTCTTCTAATTTGCAAATATGCAGACAGTTCTCCCCCAAAATAGGGAGAGAACCGTCAGGGAGGAAACGTCAGGGAAGGAACTGGTAAGGGAGAGAATAGTCTGACTACCAGAGAAAAGCATATCCTTCACCTTCATCCAACACCTTCACCTTTGTTTAAAATCGGAAATTTGCCTAAAAAGACCTCAAAAATAGATTTCTTTTGACAATTTTTTATGCAAATCATCAAAAAAGTGAAGTAGGAATATATCGTTTTTACCGAGACATTCAAATAAAAAGTGTACGAGTTATTATGAGTACGAATTGACATCGAGTTCTGTTCATTAATAGCATATTAGCTCGGCCTTTTAAGAAAAATGGATTTCACGATTACAAATGTAAATTATATCAACATAGAAATAAAACAGCTGTCCAGAATTAATGGCAAACACACCTGTCAAAGATTATGTAGACAATGTTTCGACTAAAAAAGTTTCGTCTCCACTGTAAACAACAATAAAAAAAATATTAAGGTATCATGGAACCAAAATATTGAACACCACTAAATAATTTCATTATCTCTCGGCCCACTGAATTTCGCCCTATTATCCTATAGTAAATCCATCACATCTAAGGCTAAATTCTGGACACAGGAAATTGATGGCTATCGCTTTAAACTATAATACTATCCAACCCAATTTAACACAAAAAATAATATAATACATTAATGTAGCCCTTGGACTTTTTCTGCAGATTTTTTTTCTATAAAATAATCCAAATAACGGTTACAACTTTGGTATATTCTGGTGCATATCACTTCATGAAACCTTTCACCTAGAAATAAAGGCCTGCAAAGATACACAAAAACAAATTTTGAAGTACTCAGAAATGACACTTCATATATGCAATTACAAATAGTAATTATGCTTAAAATGTAAAATGTCTCAGAAGAGATTACTTGAAATGCGCCACTTCAACATTTAAAAGAACTACTTTCTAATTCCGTATACCGGGGTGACATATTCTGGCAAAACAACCAAATACATTAACAAAAAAAAGAGACAAAACAAAAACAAACAGACAAAAAAACTCATTTTATAGATCTGGATCACCTTCAACAATGAAAGAATGAGCTACACGTGGAAGACTTCTTTTATGGTACAGCCATACAGTATGATCTATCAAACATAATTTTAAAAGAACCTTTGCTACATAAACATCCCATTCATAATCTCAGAACTGCACACTCTGAAATAATTATACATTTACGTTTTATCCTCCTACCATCATACTTTGGAATTCCTTAAACTTATAAAGCCCATCGGCCTTACAGCTGGGACAAAAAGGCTCCCCTGAAACATTTTAGGCAGTGTGTGACCAAACTTGCACGAATATCTGGACACTGCAAATTTGGTTTTAAACAAGTGTTTTATCTGTAGTTGTTTTAGCACTATCATTAATTACTGTCATTCATTCTTACAAATTAATTTGTGTCAAATTCATTCCCTGTCTGTAGGCATACCCTTCTGTTTGTCCCTGTCTGTAGGCCTACCCGTCTGTTTGTGAATTAATTAGTTCTTGTAAAGGAGCGTAGCAACACGCAAAACTTGTAGTCTGTAATGGTGTTATATCTTTCAAAAAATATTTCTTTAAAGATCCTGTAACTAATTTTTTATGGTGTCATATTATAAATACATGTATAATGCTCAAATTAATAAAGATTTGTCAATGTTGTAAGTTTTAACACGGATTTATATTCATGTTCTTGTTTTACCCTTGGTGTTCTGTTGTTCGTGTTCTTGTTTTACCCTTGGTGTTCTGTCGCTCGTGTTCATATTTTTGGTTAACATTGGTGTTCTGTCGTTCATATTTTTGTTTAACAGTTGTATTTTTAATTTGTTGTTCATAATCTTGTTTAACCATTATGTTAAATCGTTCATGTTTTTAATTAACCTTAAACTTCATTCGTTTATGTTCTTGTTGACCCTAGGTGTTCTGTCACTCAAATCTTTGTTTGTAGTTCATGTTCTTCATTATTGTGGTATATTGTATTTCATGTTCTTGTATTTAATGATCAACATTATTTTTTTGTCCAATCACATTGTAGTATTTTTCAAATTTCTGCTTAGTCTAACTTTGGTTAATGTGTACTAACTAAATAAAATTCACATAATCTGTCGTCTAACCGCAGTCTAACAAATTTCAATAATGCATTATATTAGGGAGGAGTAAGAGGTATGGTTTACACTCTGATTTGTTAAATATCTAAGGTTAGCAAAACAATGCCAACGTGAAAAAAATTAGTCGGGGTCAGGTGTTTCTGTTTAAATGTGAGGATACATCAATTGATTTATTACATAGATAATACATGTTAGGCATGCAGAGACAAATGATTGCATATTAACTTTTTTATATCCTTATATATACACATTTCATTCACTCCATTGTTTTTACCTAATTGCATCCTTTTCCTCTTCAGATATTTTATAGAAACATGATAGTCTTACTGTAGATAAAGGTATAAATTCTGTGACATTTCAATAAAAATGTGCCCATTATATGTTGAAAGGGCCATGCATTTATTTAGCTTATCTAAATGTGACATGTTAGAAACTTGACAAGGTGTAGACATCTTGTTGAGCGAAAGGGCGGAGCTATCAGTGATTTAGAGAAATGCCTTGTTTTTGGTTGAAAAAATAATGTTGATCATTAAATAGGTTAATGTTTAATAATACGCATTAACAAAAATAATTGGTCGCCTGCCTGCGGCAGGCTTGACCAATTATTTTTTTTAATACGTATTATTAAACACTAACCTATACATATACTCCATCTGTAGTTTGATTAAATACTGCGCTGCGCAAGTGAACTCTGTCCATCATAAATTCAACGATATGCCGCGGTTACATACTTATTTTTTATTAATTATGAAATGTGTGATTTGAAGTGTGTATTTTGCATTTTATTTAACCCTTTCCCCCATGAGCATATTGTGAAAATGGCCATTTTCACTGAAAAGCCTCCTCTTACAAGTTCAAACTGCTATGAAACTATGAAAAATGCTTCAATACTAATCAAACTTGGCACAAATGTTGACTGGACTATTGCCTTTGTAACGACATGCTCAGTCTTTAATTTCCTGTTACCATGGCAACGAGGGGACATCTCAAAATTGCCAAAAATCACTATTTTGCCTCGATTTTTTCCATAAAAATTTATTTCAAAGTGCTGCAACTTCTCAAGGGATTGAGATAGAGTCAAAGGCTTTTAAGCGTTGGTTACACGTTACCTTATGATCGACCTGGGGTCATTTTAAGCCTCTCACAAGTCCAAAATTTTCTTGCCCCCTTCAAACCCCCCAAACAGAAGGGGGCACATCCCCCTTCTGGCAACCCCCTGATGTATCTTTTGGATGGGGGGCCGCGCCGAAAAAGTGCTCACTTTTTTATCAACATTTCTCAAACTAAAACATGTGTTTGGGGCCCGAATAGGACATTGTTTCACTATTTCAGGCCTAAAAAGGGGGGGGGGGTCGAAAGTGCGTTGTTCTAAAAAATGTACAACACAAATTCGTACAAAGACAAAAGAGAGGCTTCTAATATTCTAATTTCTAATTCAGAATCATTAAACAAATGATAACTCGTCAAAATGTACATTATTATGTTATTTATTTTTTATAGGAAGGGACTGAAAATAAATTTTGAAAATATTTTTTTTTATTTGGAATACTTCTACAACAATATATTGTGTGCAAGATTACAGATCATTTGCTCACTCCGTAATTCAAATATGATTACTCAAATTGTGAAAAATGACCCAAAATTGAAAAGCGTTGCAACGTTTTTCACTCAAATCTGGCTAAGAATAGCACAAAAAAAATACGATTTTCAATTTATTTCAGAGTATATTTTTAATAATATCTTGCATATCTTTCTGTTTTCAGAGCTTTAGCTCAAATTCAAGTCTTATGGTTTTAGGTTTCTGGACCTCAGTGGGGTTCCTTTAAAATGTGACTGTATTTTTATGTGTCTCCACATCAGACTATAGAAAGTACTACACGTATCATTAAATTACTTTTGATCGGTCGAAAACATTTAATATGCAAATATTAAAAAAAAATAATAATGAGGACTTACAAAACATTTAAGACCCAATTTTCATGTGAAAGCTATTTGTCACTCAATCTTAAAAGAAATGAAACACAGTTTCGATGTGGCATTCTGCCCTTGCGTGTAGAAATCGGAAGATATGTAGGAAAGGCGCCAAATCAAAAACACTGTACTTTATGCCAATCAGGAGTAACTGAAGAGGAAACTCATTTCTTAAGTGTGTGTCCGGTATATAATGATATAAGATCAAGACATTTAATGACATTATTACAAAGATGTATATAACAACATGACAAATACGGAAAAATTAGTATTTCTTATTAAAAATCAACAGAACAAAATAATAAAATGTCGAGTTCTACCTTAAGGAGAAATTTGCTGTATAATAGGTTATTGAAATTTAACGTGCCAATAGTGAAACATGATGATATATTGACTGTACATTTTCTGAAATGTGGTACTGTAATTTACAGATCGAGCAGCAACTTTGATCTCACTTAAATGTTTCATTTTCAAAGATATGTGTATATTTGTATACATATAATGAGGTGACTTATAGGTCCAATGAGCCGTATGTCTTTGTATGTATTCTTATCATGTATGTGAAATTGATATATGCACAATGTCACTATAATAAACAATTTACTTACATACTTACTTAAAGAAATATTGAATAAGCAAATATTAAATCATTTAATAAGAAAATATTAGAACAATTAATAAGCAAATACCGAAACAATTATTAGTAAACAAATATTATCTAATAAGCAAGTATAATATTAAAATATTTAATCAGCAATATTAAATCATTTAATAAGCAAATATTTGAACATTTAATCAGCAAACATCGTAATATCTAGTAAACAAATAGTATATATTAAGCAAATATAAAATTAAAATATTTAATAAGCAAATATTAAATCATTTAAAAAGCAAATATATGAACATTTTAATAAGCAAACATCGTAACATTTAGTAAACAAATATTATCTAATAAGCAAATATAATATCAAACATATTAAATCATTTGATAAGCAAATATCGAAACATTTTGTGAACAAATATTATCTAAATAAGCAAGTATAATATTAAAATATATAATCAGCAAATATTAAATCATTTAATAAGCAAATATTAAACATTTAAAATAAGCAAACATCGTAATATCTAGTAAACAAATAGTATCTATTAAGCAAATATGATATAAAACATTAAATAAGCAAACATTTAATCATTTAATAAGCTAATATAGAAACATAAAAAATGATAAGCAAATGTTTAAAAAAATTATGAACAAATACTAAATAGTTTAATAAAAAAAATATTAAAAAATTTAATTGGCAAATATTTAATAAGCAAATGTAAAATCATTTAATAACCGATATTAAAATAGTTCATGAGAAAATATTTAAGCTTTTGATTTGCAAATATTAAAACATTTTATATACAAATATCTAAACATTTTATAAACAAATATTAAAACGTTTAATAAACAAATATTGAATAGTTTAATAAGCAAATATCAATAAATAAATAATAAATAAACAGATATTACAACAATCTTATAAACATATAAAAAGACATTTATTAAGCAAATATAAAAAATAATTAATTAGCAAAAAATTCAAATATTAAAACATTTTATCATAATACTCCAAACCACCACCCTTTCGATATAAAACAATAATTTTAACGATGCAGTGCATTCACAATTATCAAAAATGAAAAAAATAGTGTTGCCCATTTTCTAACAACAGCACTTCAGAAAGAAAAAAATCTCTGGCATATTTTACCACGGGCATTGATTCTTCTAGATGACTGCCCGTTAATCATAAATTAATTTCCTATTAGCATTTTAGTCTTGTGCTCGCCATTCAATACTATAATTTATTCTTGTCACAGCCATCTGGCCACACATTTGTCAGCATTTGCCTCCTTTTTGGTTCTTTTGTGGGACTCCATGTGCGTAACAAAACATGATCCAGAGCTTAAACTCTGAACAATCCAATACTGTCACGCTTTATTCATTACAGAAAATATCTCAATTCAAGTTTTTGAACACACTCTGAGTGGTATTAAACGAACCGTATGGCTTTGAAAATATCATAGAGTTCGGATATTTTTTTAAATACCGCAGCGGATTTTTTTAAAAAAGAATTGTGTGTGATATAAAGTGTTGGTACTATCACAGTACTTCTGAGAAAAAAGCGATAAAGTACGGCTTTTACATGTATATATAGTATGAAGAATCCCTCTGAGATTTGGATATCAACTAACGATTTGTTTTGCGAAAATTACGCAAAAACTAGAGAAAAAAATCATCTAAATTTTACACGTAACCCCCACTCCTCCTGTAGAAAACTAGTAAAATGCCATTCCCCCTCTTTGGAATATGTGTCACCCTTTATTAAAACTGTGCAACCCTCTCTGGTTAAATAATTCTGGATCCGCGCCTTAACAACGATCTAACAAAAACTTTTATAATAATAAGAATTGTTTTCCTTATCAATTTATGTTGATAATGATGATGATTGTGATGATGTTGTTGTTGTTGTTGTTATTGATGATGATGATCATTACATTATCAATAATAGAAAAAAACAACAACAATTAAAAATTAATAACAGGTCATTCGATCATCGTTTTTTCCCCCAGAATATTCTTTACTTTAAATAAAAACCAAAAAATTAAAAACATTAAAACACTTTTAACACAAATCAGACTAAGAACCGCACAGAAAAAAAAAACTTAATTTCGACTTTTTACATGGGTGAATGTGAAATACATGTATAAAACTGGTAATTGCAAGTATTTATATTTAATAGATACCCTGAGATATCTTTTTATTTTTAAAAAAAAAGATGATATTGTTTGTGAGCTGTCTTGGTCTTTCTTTACTTTATTTCTTTATAACAAAAATAGTTCATATGCAATTATATCGCATGCAGAATTTTGATTTTTAAGCACCTAAAATTATCCGACATCGAAATTCATAATTATCATAATTAAATATAAACAAATCTGTAAAAAGGATGGTTTTTATTTTCGTCAAATTAAATTATGAAGTTTGGACCCATGCCGCCAAACGAAAAGACGTGCCGCGTTAAAAGTCAATTGGCTTTAAATGAGTATCGACTGCAATACTTTACATTGTCCCAACTAGATTTGAACATACGGCGGTGAATTTTAATAATAGGCTTGTCAAAATTAGCGTGTGCCCCCACATATGGCGATATGCAAATTTCCTTTAAATTTCTTTCTTGTTTTAGATAGGGACAACTTTTATCGAATGGCTTATCAAAATTGTTAATTTTTTTCTTTCTTTAACAAACGATCCTCGTATCTAAAACAATGATACTCTTATTTAAATATCGTTCGTTCGTTCTTTTATTTATTTATTTATTTATTTATTTATTTATTTATTTATTTATTTATTTAATTATTTATTTATTATTCTCTTTGCAAAGCCATGGAATTAAAATTTTGATATAGGCATACAAATTTCATGTTTTAGTAATTAGATCAGTAATGCGAAAGTTTTACCATATTAATCTTAAGTCAACTGAAATTTGAATAAAAAACTACTTTTTTTTCTTCTTTTTTTCTATACCAACTTTGAAAAAAATCGGCTTCAAGCTAGTCCGATGCAAGACGCTTGTGTTATACCAATGATTTCCGGGTTTTAAAAAAATAAAATATTTGATTATCCGGATATTCATGCAAATGATGTCCAATGAAAAGCCTATGTGATTAAAATTATATCTTTTTTTGTTGTTGCCTTTTGAACACGCAGGAACAAAAATCTCTTGTGAAATGATAAAAACACTTTCTTCTCACACATTCTCTGACAAATGATGACTCCTTGCTACAATCAGCAAAAGAGATGATCACTAAATACACATATCCTAGATCCCATTGTTGTTCCGCAAACAATCGATGACAGCCAATCAAAATGCTTCTTTAACTCTGAATTACAAATTGTCCAATTAATTCCCTAATATAATTTGCCGCGGAGCTGTTCCGATAACAATCGCAAAGCGCGTGACGAGATAACGCGAGACTGTAGCTGGATAATATTGATGGAGACGAAAATTGAGAGGCAACTTGTCAAAATATCCCGGGATCGTCATTTAATCAAGTAGGAGTATCAATAGTTACTGGCGGATTGAATTTATTGCGCGTTTGTGCTCATTTGGATAGAAATTCGTATTTGTGAATTAAGTTTATTTGTAAAAGCTGACACTCGGAAATATTTGTTGACTAAAGGGATAGCTAAAAGAAAAATAAAAAATAAAGAACTAAAATTTCTTGAAACAAAACAATTAAAGCTTTTAATCTGCAAATTTATTTATTTAGAAACAGTTCTTTATTCCTTCAAAATTGCACAAAATGGATACATTTCAAGGGTTTTCTCAATTCGACCAACGCGCATTTTCTCACAGCCAAAGACTTATGGAAAGCATGCAAAAGTTTTCGAACGGAAACACTGACATTCAAAATGTAATTCACACTGAGCGACATATAAGTGAAGAAAATAAGAACGGTAATGAAAGAACGGATCACGTATCTCTGACAGACGAACAGAAATACAAAGACAATGTAGATGTTTGCAGCATTGACAAAACCGCCGATGACATGAACGAGAAAAGGGCATTTTCAAACAGGATGGGACAGTTTGATATAAACATGATGGAAATTCTAAGGCACGACAGAAATGCAAGCAGTGGGAGTAGTGATGACGAACCGACGTCACACGGACTTGACGGCATAGACACGTTCGGTCAAGGATACTCGGAAGAGGGCTTGAATGGAAAAATAAAACATTGCAGAAAGGGGAAAGGAGAAAAAGTAGTTCGCTTAAATATTAATGCGAGAGAGCGGCGACGCATGCACGATTTGAATGATGCACTGGATGAACTAAGGTCAGTTATTCCATACGCGCATAGTCCATCAGTTAGAAAATTGTCCAAAATTGCCACACTTCTCCTGGCTAAGAACTATATTTTAATGCAAGCGAACGCTTTGGAAGAAATGAGAAGGGTAGTCGGTTACATGAATGTGTCTCCACCCTCTGCAGCCCCAGGTAGTGGCTGTTTCGAACCTTTCTCTTCGTATGGACGTTTTCCTACCGGTCTACCGCAAGATTTGGAAAAGAATGCTGATCACTTTACGGCAATGATGCAAAAAGTTGATCGTAATGCCAAACATTGTGTCCCTTTTGGCGTTAACGCTAACTCCGATGTATTGCCAAGCTCTGTCACAACGTCAACGTAAGAAACAAAAGCGACAAGAATTTGTGTGTGATGGCGATTATAAAATTTATCAGAGCAATTTTTGAAGAAAAAAAAGTCGTCTTGGAAAGAGGTTCTACAATCACAGAGAGTTTGACATCAGTGCTAAACACTTTTTGTGCTTTTTTGTGAATTACTAATCCAATCTTAACGATAAATATGTTTGTGATGATATATTATAAAACAGAAATATTATGTGTATAGTTTCCTATGTGTCGGTAAGATATTTTCTAACTTCGCTTATCTAATAAAGTTTCTGTTTAAATAATGGTTTTAGAGAATGTTAGATGCTTGTTACCTAAAGAAAGTAACATGGCCTGTTTTGCGCCTTATCGTCAATAATAAAGTATTTTCAGGATTATTTTGTTATATATTTATATTATATATATATATATATATATATATATATATATATATATATATATATATATATATATATATATATATATATATATATATATATATATATATAAATTCAAGGCAAGGTCTGCATGCGCATAGTGTGAGTAATATTCTGAAGGCAAAGAAAATGCACTTGGGGTTCAATATTATTTATTACATAACTTTAAGTAATAAATATTATTTTTAATAAGTCTTTATTTATTTTAGCCTTAGTTAAAAAAATAATTTTATATACACGAGAATGAATGAATTTTGTATAACTTGTTTGAATGAATTCAAATTCTAAAAAAACTGATGCATGGCGACTAATGTAATATTTTATTTGTACTATGTTGAAGTATAAATATATGTAATAAATATTTCGAATTTGAATGCATTATTAAGTTATTTGTTTTTTCTTTTACTTTTATGGTTTGTTCAAACCAAATCTGTGGATGTTTTATTGAAAATAAAAAGTACATATTAGCAGCGTAGGTTTCTTTGGATATATTTGGACAAAAAGAATTTTTTGACCCATAGTAGTGTCATTTTTGAAATTTTAATTAGCAAGAGAATTTAAAGACCATATAATTCAAGTGAAATATTTTGAACATTTAACCTGCTGAATTTGAACTTGCCTTGCTATGAATTTGAAACAGTCTATTTTAGAGTGATATCAATATTAATATGTATCTAACAACATTATAAAGCCAGGCCAGACTACTCTGGCTCTATACTGGTGGCAAAGGCTAAACATTCCAGCGCGGCAAGGGTTTTAAAAGCAAAATATGTGCATTTCCGTCGTATAAATTTTTGCAGTACGCAAAAAAAATCAGATCATTAACATTGTTAATGAAATAATGAAAACTTTAATACATAAGTAAAGTTTCATTAAGGAACGTCTTGTTTCTTTGATTTTGCTATTCGCGTATGAGCCACCTGCTTTATTTTTCTGAATTGATGGAACATCATTATTTCAATTTAGGTACTTTGATGTGATTTTCATAAAAATACAAACAAATGTCCACCAAAAACATTCAGGTTATATAAAGTATCATATTATTTAACACAAAACAGAAATCATTAATTTAATAAAAGAAATGTTTACATGTTGATAATGAACAATAAACATTTTAATTTTTTTCACAATAGTAATTATACATATAGCTAGATAAATAGATATTTTTACACATGTAATTTATATTGTTCAATAAACATTCAATTAACATTATCAATAATTAAGATTTAATGCAATCTTTAATTGCATAAAAGAAAAACACTAGGCACACGTATACATACGATTTCTAAGCATATAACAAAGTGTTTATTGCTAAATGGTAACGATACTTAAATCTACAAAGTTTAAACATAAAAATAACATGCTTATTACTAAATAACAAATCAAAACATAAAGCAAGAAACCGATAATCATTTACTGTAAAATCATAATGAGCAAATATTAGTAATGAGTTTGTCATTTAAAATAGAACTTATATAACATTAGATGTATGTTATCTGACATAAGATTATATAACATATCTATAGTATACAAGCAATGAGAAATATTAAGCAGGAAGTTTGCCTAAAAAGAAATAATTTTTGCGTGATCAAATATTTGCGAATAATTTCAACTCACAAAAAAACGCAAATAATTCCACGTCGCAAAATTAACCATATACAATGTATACAGAAATGAGTTTGTCTTTTAAAGCTTGTAAAGATAGAACTTATAGAACATAAGATGTACATTATATTACATAAGATATTACATAACATATCTATAATACACAAATATAATATAATGCATATAATTAATGTAATGCAATGCACTGCACTACATTACATTTCACTTTTCACATTACCTACACATAACTTGCACATGCAGTTTGTTTTTTCAATTTGACACAAAATTACTAGCTAACGTAACGACGATGGCTTCACTCATGCAGGTGTCCGTTTGTGCCTGAAAGAATTTACTTAGGTCTTTCTCCACCAGTAAGTAATTGACCATATGGCATGTACTGTGTTGGTGCGAGGTTAAACCCAATAATAATAATAATAATAATAATAAAAGCACAAAATTATATCTAGTATATGAGATGGCCAGTGGCAATAATTTCACATGGCTTGAAATATTGAGTCCTGAAGTATATGTAATGTATAGGTATAATATAAAAGAATAAAGTGATACTCACCTTCTACTTACCTAATGATGCATGATTTACATATTTGCTTACCTTGATGGGTATTACCGTGCCGTACCAGTTTCTACAAATAAAGCATTGGATGTCAGTTTTTAAATCTATTTGGTAGTCATAAAAATAGTCTTAATATTGTTGAATGAGTCCATGTTCTATATAATTGTTAATTGATGGTAAATTTGTAAATATGTGTCATTAATTCTTCGCCCTTTTATATTATTTGGTATATCAGTGTCAAAATGATTATCCAAAGTTAACAAGAAACTTGACTTGTCAATTAATCATACGATAGGTGCATTTTGGGCTATTTAACGAAAAGGCTATCTAGAGCCAAACGAAAGAGTTTTTTTTGTTTTGCTTTTATATTTCCCCTGTATGATAATTTTTGTATCATCGACATTTTAGCGTTGTCCTATGAAATTATCACCACTGATAATTTGTATAATTTGAGGTCTTGTATTAATTAATAAGTGTTTCAAAGTTATGCTATTTTTTGTCATAAACATTTCTAAAAAAAGTGAAAAAACACTGCTTTAAATTGAAGTTTTAAAACTGATTTCGTTTTATATAAGCCTAGTTTGAGACGTTAAATGCATTCTATTCAATGCTTATGTTTTTGTTGAATTTTTCATCAACAATTGATTCACTGTACTGTTCTTTTTGTCTTCAACCCAGCTTTATAAGTTGCGGAAGGCTAATTCATTTGAGACACATATGTAATCAAAGACGCGCTTCTATCTTTTTATCGACTATTTGTGTCATTAACATTAAAAACACTGTCTTAAATGAATTGAGTATCCAACTTTTAGTAACAAATTAAATTTGAAGCCTTTCATGAAATAAAATACGAGGTTTTTATACTTTATTCTTGTTTTGTTTGAAGCATTGTCTTAACGTTGTATGCTTCTAGGTGAGCCAAAAAAAAAACATGAAGAAAAAATCAACATGGCTTGAAAAAAGATGCACAAACATTTTAAGAAAAGTAAAAATATTTACAATTCAAGTAATAGGTTATGTTTACATGCAATCAATGACTTATTATACAGTATTTATCACCAAATTTTCTCAGTACTGTGTGACTAATGCAGTAAGGACTTTTTTTACATATATTTTGACATTTATTTGTTTATTAACATGGATTTTGCAACGTGGAAATTACTTTCTTTATTCACTTTGTTTACTTTTTTACACGTTTTCAAAATTGTTCATGAAAATTAGCATGAATTTTGGAGGCATGCTGCTTTAATTTAAAAGAAGGCGCTAATGATAAATGGCTATTTGTATAAATACAGACATTGCAAGAATTTATTTGCTGTAAGTCGCAAAGACACTGAATGTTTATAGGTCATGTGGCGATTTCCAGCTTTACTGGTGGAGAGTATCAAATAAGCGATTTTAGCCAACAAAAAGTTCTGTCATGAACGAAATTAACATACCCTTTTTAATGCTTACTTTGTTTAATAATTTTAAGCATTTAACTGTACAAAACAGGGGTTCTACAAGTTGCGCTTATTGTCATTTGTAGTATGTATTTAATGAAATAAGCGTTAAGTACTGTTCGACGCTTATTTGCATTAATCGAAACGGAGGTATTGTACAAATCCAAATTATTTACGTTCCGGTATGCCTGCTATCTAATTAATTTAGAAAATCACAATGCAAATCAAAAGTAATTTATTCAAGCGGATGAATTTTATCATTTACATTTTCTTTTTTATTTTGATTTGATATGGAGCTAAATGAAAGTGACCGATATTAAAAAGCAATATATACATATACAAATAAAATACAATGTGTTATCCAAATAGTAAAATTTACTAATCGTGCTTCGTTCATCAAATACGCTGTTAAACGTATTTCTTATTATGAACACACAATTATGAAAAAATATCAATAACCTTTTCGAGTGTTATATTTATTAAGTTGTTTTTGCGTACAATAAAATGTACTGCACTTATATATAAAAGGTATGTTCTGCAGAAAATAAAAATAAACAGAATTGTGTTTAACAAATGAATTATTAATATAAAGACAGAAAAAACATGTTCTAGGATAGAATTATAAATGAATCATTCCTTTGGTAGTAAAAATATTTAAAAAATATCCTTTCAACAATCCTGATGGAGGTATAAAGGTCCCTTTGAACTAAGTCTACGATAAAGAAAATGGGTGATTAAACGAATTCTTACACCAAGGTTTGTTTTACAGTTTGAATTAATTAAATGATATTCATCTTCAATATCACGGCATTGGCATATTTGTAATTTGCATACTCTCCTCTGGTAAACTAGGGGAAATTGAAGAATACTCATATAAGCACATACATTGGTTTTGTCCTTCGTGAAAGATTTCGTCAGCAATTCATAATAGCCATGATAAAGTAAACATAAATCAAATTGAATTCCATTGTGTTGAGTCTATATAATATACAACTTTAAAGACAATTCAATTATTTAATGGAAGCTTATGTGTTTTTTTTCCATTTAAGCTCTACTGTAAAACACGTTCTTGTAACGTTGAACCAGTAATCAATCCAGTATCCGTTTTCTGAAACATACCAGGTCCTGTTTTAAAGCTATCCTCAGTTCAAACTCAATTCCCAGGTATTTCATCGGTATAAAACTGGCACAGAATGTATACTCCTGAGCTTTGAGAGAGAATACAATAATAATTTAAATAAACAAGAGTCCTGGTGTCAAAGCTGTCCTGTTAGCTCGATAGGTAGAGCGCTGGACTGTGAATCGGGCGACCCGGAGTTCGCCAGACGGCGCATGTCACTTTTGTTATGAACGATCATG